AATACTTCGACTACGAATGGTATTCGGAGGACTATTCAATAAATCAAAAGAAAAATTAAACATAATTACCCACGCGAATGTATTTCCATGACAACAATAAACGTCAAAATAAAATATGGAAGTTGCTTTTCATTTTGCTATTGATTCTATTCGAACTTTTGTGCTCCAAGCTAATTCGTTATGAGTGATTAAATTAAAAGATGTGGTGATAAGACGGTTGTCGAAATTGATTAACAAACTAAGAAGAATGTTCCGGTTAATACGACAAAATTTCGCGTCATTTCACTGGTGGAAGTTTGACAAATGTCATTGAATAATCGCATTGAATTATCGCTGAAATACCACACGTGCAATTATCACTATAATTCGTTCCCATTGGCGCAGCAATTTGAAATCGAGACATTTCACTGGTTGAAATGTGACAAATGTTAGATGAATTGAATAGTCGCTGTAATTGAGCGATAATTGCACACCTCATATGGCATTTATGACATATGAGGGAAATATTCAGTTTAAAACATGAAACTCACAACCGACTTCTAAACACCTGCCGACACCGCCGACGCAATGGATAACATGTGTTTCCAATTTTAGAGACAATTATTATAAAAGCTAATAAAAAAGGCAAATGTGGTTTTTTTAAGAATGAAATTATCAACACACTTCTAAACACCTGTTTAAAATGCAGACGTCGCCGACGCAATGGACAACACATGTGTTTCCAATTTTAGACTCGGATAGATAAGAAGATTTTAATTGTCGTGTATAAATTTTTGATTTGGGAAATGATTGATTGAAACTAACGGCAGTTACATGTGTCGAGGTAAATTTCCAGACACAATATTTGGTCACCCTTCCCGTATTGTCCAAATCCAAAATCATTTTGCATGGTATCCCCATTGTTTAAAATGTAAAAATCAAATTTACTTACTGCATTTTACGCGGTACCTATAATCTGTGCTTGTCAAAGGCCACCCTTAGCTTTCTTGCTTTCGGTACTAGGGACTCTCCTTTGAACCATCTGGAATTTTTGGGGACCATTCCGCACAAGATGCACTTCACTTCGCGTTAACACGATCGAATGATTTGGTCATAAGTTATATTTTTGATGGAGGGGCGGTAACGTGGGTAGGTAGAAATTAATCACCTGATGCGCTTATCTGCACGTGCGGTCACTTTTACCTTTCAATAATTGTTGCCGTACCGAATGAAGTCGTTCCTGATAAGTTATCACATGTCAACTACAATTTTTTAACCGATGATCTAAATGAATTTTCATTCTCATATAGAAAAAGGCAAAATTTGATTTTTCTTATTGTCTACCTTCCAATTGCAGTTTGTCACTGAAGTAACTTTCTTTAGCTTGGTCAAAAATAAACTTTGGCTTCTAATTGTTTTACTCAATATTACCACGCAGTATTTGAGATATATAGCAAATATTAAAAAGGTTCCTTTCTTTCGGAAATTTCACTGAGGAAGGACAGCAAACTGCGTCCGAAATATTTGGATTACCAATTAAAAAAAAAGGAAGTCTGATTTTTGAGCCTACTCACCCTACAAACCGTCACTTCAATAGCAAATATTGTTATTAATTTATAATACCATGTGAGAAGATATGAGGGCGCGTAGGTTTTTCTATATGAAAGCGGCGGTTGTAAAGTATTGGAATGGAGTGTCAAGCAAGTATGGGGAAGAATTTAAGAAGATTTCGAAAGGATTTCTGAGGATTTATAAGGAATATTATCCGATTTCAGGGATTGCCGTGGATCTCCAGGAATTGACGGGGAGTTTAAGCGATTTCAAAGTATTGACGTTGCGGGAAATTCAAATTTTTAAACTAATTTCTGAACATCTTATATTTTGTTATATGTGCCTCAATTATTGAAAACTCAGATATATCAGACCTGACAAAGAGGAGGCACAAACTCAAACTTGCCGTTTCAAGGTATTCAAGAAAAACCAAATTTCTTGTATTCGCATAGCGTATTTGTATGTAATTTTCTATAGTAGCTTGGCAGCTAGTTCAGTGTTCACCTAAGAACCCCATTGAAATAAACCATCTTTAGTTCAGAGTTGCATAACATTCTATGGATATCAGAAACGAACTCATTATTTCATTATTTTAAAAGTAATGACGTAAAAGTGTATTTACACAAAGTTTGAAACTTAATGGTTAACGATGAACCTACGCTGATATTGCTACGCCCAGTTCTGATATTACAAGGGGAGAAAAATTATGTCGAAATTGGCAACACCGTTCGTTGGTACAAACGATTATTTGATATTTGACGTTTGCAGTGGTTTTAAAGCCATTTTCTCCATAATTCTGAGATAATCCAGTGGGAATGTAATTTTGGGAAATTGTCATTTTAGATAGACGTAAAATGTATCATTTTTGCACAGGGCTATTAAGAAAGAACCTGAGGTTACTCGTGGCATACTTTTTGGGCCCTGCAAAGTAAACAAACACATGCACCGCAAATGGGTTTGGTATGATGACCATGTTGCAGAGGATATTACACAGACGATGAGACGGCACACCGGTCACCACATACTCTGTGAATGACCCGCTGTATTCCAACTTTATTCAATTTATCCAGGCTACCATCACCAAAGATGCCAGGATATACCTACTTGCAAATGGGGGCTGAACTTCACGTCCTGCCAGTGCAAAAAAGGTTGCTCTGGGAAGTGCACCTACGGGTTTGAAATGTTCGCTACTATTCACCGCCACGGCAACTCCTGTGAGAATGCTATAGAAACCGTTGATGATGATGAGGGCTTTGGTGAGCCACAGATTCGACTGATGAGACAAACGAAGATTATCTTGAAGTTGTTCAGAATCCGAGTAAGAAAAACAAGTTGTAAATCAGCACATGCATGATGAAAGCGGATTTTTGGTAGTGCAGATCAGTATTTTATTAGCAAAGTTTAAAATTATCGATCTTACGAGTAATCTAACTCAAAATAGACTAGAGCCTGCACATCTACACTACCTCAGAAAGCTTTTAGTGAAAATTTGAAGTCTGTAGCTATTGTAATTGCTGAGATCTCAGTCGGACAGCCAGCCAGTCATAACGAATATAATAACGTATGTTTTTCCAAAAATGCGCTAAAAAGTAAGTGGGTCATTTTACTTGTCTTACACGCATCATTGCGACTTTATATCTCGGTACCTATTAGAAATTCTGTTACCAAAGTTGTAGGAGATTTCAAAATTTGTTAAAACTACTTTAACGGAAATTTGCGTTAAAAGGACATACATGCGAAAAACTAGGTTTTGCCGCTATTTTGACTAGATTTTTTTAGATGGTGGCGCGCGCACAGCTTCGTCAAGGTCAAAAACTTGGATTTAAGATTTAACATTCGGTGACATGTATAAAAAAAACAAAAAAATTGAAACTACCCGAATAATTACGATCTCAAATCACCATATTAGGTGATGATCGCTATGAAATTGAAATATGTGTATACTTCTGCAGTGACTTCCAAGCGCATGTGCATAATATTTAAAACATTCAACATCATAACCACTTGCTTGTCAATAAGATTAAAAAATTATTAGAAAAACCAACATTTTGTTGAAGAATTTCTACGGAAGCGAATTATTCTAAGCGCGAATTTTCCGGGAGCGAATTATCCGGACGCGAAATGTCCGGGAGCCAATTATCCGATCGCGAATTGTCCTGGGAACGAATTTTCCGGGATCGAATCATCCGGTCGCGAATTGTCCTGGGAGCAAGTTGTCCGGGTGGCGTATTTGCATTCTGTACTATTATTCAGAGCAGCTCTGGTCTGATTCGCAGTATACTATGGTTTCACGTTATGCGCAATTTGATAATACATGATATACTGCGATTCAGAACACCGATATGGTTTAGTGCTCGGTTTCGTGTTTGTTTTATTGCTAAAATTAGCGAAGCACTTTTCGCGCCAAACACTGTTAATATCTTCACCCGTTTTTTTTAAATTTCGCTTTAAATCCATGTTCTACTAATTCCAAATATACGATCATTGAAAACTTATTCTCGTGGCACATTTCAACCAATACCTCTTTATAGATCATTTTAGTGCAGTTTGAGAACCTTGATTACACACAAACAACAAAAAATATCTTTTCTTGCAAAGGTAACAATAAAAACACTTTTTGTAAGTGTATGATGTGCTTTATAGAAACCCATTATATACAGTGTTTCAGAACTCTAAAGTTTAAACCATTTCGGTGCTCTGAATCGCAGTACATAATGTATTATCAAATTGCGCATAACGTGAAGCCATAGTATACTGCGAATCAGACCAGAGCTGCTCTGAATAATAGTACAGAATGCCAATACGCGTCCGGGTGCGAATTGTCCGGGAGCGAATTACCCGGGCGAAAATTGTCCGGGAGCAAATTATCATGGCGCGAATTGTCCGCACACCAATCATACAAGACGGTCAAGTTACTCCATTTTCCAATTATTCTCCATTTCCTTTATTTGACATTTATGAGATTCATCTTATACATGAATCTACTATATTTTAGTTCACTAGCCCTTTCTGGTCCAAAATAGCTATTATTATTAATAGGGATACGATGTTTGTAACATTATTCCCGGTGTACTTATTGCAAATAAACATACGTACATATTTCGAAACTGATATGTTGTAAGTGTATTTGATAATATTGATAACATCTATGTACATTATCACATTCTGCGTTAACTATGACCGATGACTCAAGATGTAGAGATGGACGTATCGGGAAAATCTGGACGAATTAACAACCCTAAACACTATACCCACGATTTGATATGTACCCGTACCTACATAATTATAACAAAAAGCTATGGTGCCATTAAGCATTTCGGGAAATGATAAATAATCATCGAAAAAACAATTGTAATCACCGTTTATATCAATCAAGTACTTAGTTTATTGGAAGAATCGCGATTAATGTTATTTACACTCCTGATATCACCAAAAAAGTTAGCTAATATCCGATAAAGGTATTTTTGTAGTATAAAACGGCTTAAATCACAAGATGTTCCAAACATCATTAGTCTCTTCGGATAAAATGACAGCGTTACGATTTCTTACACTATTCCTCTGTTTTAGTACGTTTTGCCACTGGGGTAAGTTTACTTCTCAGATCATGTTTTGTCCTGATATGTGGTAGTGTGAGAGGATATATTCTGTTTCTCGTTTCAAAAATATGGTTCTTTACAGGGTTAAGCCTAAGGATTATAGGAGGACATCCAGGTGAAGTCCCTTCCCAGGTACCTATGTAAATACAATTTCGGTAGACAGTATCGCACGGTGTCGCATACGGGAGGAGTTTTCTATGTTATCTACGCTTCATATATGTACCTTTATTTGTAATCAAAAAATCAGTAATCATGTAACGTCAAGCACGGGACGAAATATTTTCAAGTAGGTATATTGTCCAACAGAGCTTTACCTTTTCTAGTCTATGTTATTTCAATTCACATCCAAAATGAATCAATATGAGCTTATTGCTTCTCTCTGCCAATAAGTATAGAAACTCTAGTTCAAGATCAGAGCCTTCGAATACACCCCGCATCTTTTTTTTAATCAAAAAGTAGGTATTATGAATCACTGGGTAAATGTGCACCGTTTGCGATAATATGTAATACTTATAAGACCTCCCGTATCCGTTACTAAGTTGTGTGAAGATATCAAAGACATTTTAGGTTAGTTTAAGATGGAAGGCCAATTCGATGTTTCTTTGCGGTGGTGTTACATTAACCCCCGTCTACATATTAACAGCAACGCACTGTGTTGGAGAACTAAACGATCAGAATGTAACCTCCCCGATTGATCCCGATGCCATATTCGTCGTGGCCGGGCAAACGGAAATGGAGGTAACAGCAAACAGTATTAGGCGAGACGTCGATAAAATTGTTACACATAGCCGTTACAATGATACGACTGCGTGGAGAATGATATCGCAATGCTGAAGGTAGGTACTTCTTAAACGTAAGGTGGTAGTGGTACAATCTTAGACATTATAGCTGGATAGACAGCTGCCACTAAGTGCAAATTCACCGATTAACTCGATTCAATTAAACACTGATGCTTTAAAGGTCGGCGAGACTTGTGTTGCTTCAGGATGGGGAAGCACGTCGCCGGTGAGATATACAAGGAAGTGGGATTTCATTGACTAATTTCTTCCAGACTTCTGCATTGAGCGACAAATTGATGTTGGTTGATCTACAGATTATTTCCCAGAGTGTGTGCTCGGATAAGTACAATGAATTAAAGATTAAGTTATACCCTGGGATGTTTTGCGCTGGATCGCCTAATGGGGATAAAGATGCTTGCTCGGTATCGTATTCTATATAAGTTAAATAACGGAATCCAGTAAATAGTTTGTAGGGTGATTCCGGAGGGCCACTGGTTTGTCAAGGAAATTTAGTAGGGATTATTTCCAGTGGAAGACAATGCGGAGATATCAGATTTCCTGGTGTATACTCAGATGTTGCGTTCTTCGGAAATTGGATTCAAGGTGCAATGAAGTTAATGGACTAAAAGCATAGTGCGTAAATCAAACACCTATGTATAATGTTAACTCAAAAGCATTCACATTCTTTTATATATCCTTATTAAAGTACTCAGGTATAACTACACTACAAGTTATTTTTATGAAACCTTTTATATTCAACTGTACAAAAAGATTGTTTCGGTAAAAGCCAGATTGTACGAAAGTACATGGCTACTGTATACAGGGTCGATTTTAAAGATGAAATGGAAGCTCTCATACTCAAACCGTTTGAGGTATACAGTGATATTTATTAAGAAGTAGACATAGGGATTTACATGTGTTGTTTTTCCTATGTCTACTTTTAAATGACAAAATTGCTTCTGAAGGGCGCCTAATGTTATGCAACCAAAATAACTCTTAAAACAAATAAAAATTCGGTTGTCATATTAATTAATTTGAATAATGTTGCTTTGTCTTCCGTACTTTTATTTTCGTTCGTGCGCGATGTATTGAATAGATGAAACAGTTGATATTATGAATCAATATGACGCCGATAACAGTTTAGGGAGCGTAAGAGATTTATTTTTTGTGAAGCCAAAGCAACAATAGTTAAATTAATCAAATATAACAGCCAGATTTTATTTTGGTTGTATAAAATTTGGCGCCCTTCAGAAGAGATTTTGTCATTTAAAAGAAGACAGAGGGAAAAACAATACACGTAAATCCATATATCTATCTACTTCTTAATAAATATCACGAAAATTAATACGCTCCCATTTGAAATTATTTCACATATTTTGAGGTTAAAAAGAATCAACGTGTTTTGTCATTCATTTAAGGGACAAAGTGCCACTTTTTCTCCCGGAGGGAGAAAAACGCGACCCGGGACAAAAAGTGACCGTATACGCTGAATTGTCAAACACAATTTAATGATTAATGATTACCTTTATATGTACATTTTTATTCTTGCACCATATTTTACACTTACCTAATATACCGTTTTCCATATATCTTTTTTAATTTGGGGGGCAGGAGGTTTCCTTATACCTTGTTTTTCAGAGTTTTAAACGATCATTTCTATGCCGTAGTTTTAAACTAGAATCTTTAAATAAAACTGACATTTATCGTTATACAATTCACAATTTGACATTACCATTATATTGACCCTACAGTTTTTTTCATTGAAATTGCCGTAGCTGATTACCGGAGTACAAAAACAACGTATATACCACAGAACTAAAGTCCGTCCTCATCCCTTGGGTGCTCCACTACGTTTCAGGCAACAATCTGCACCATCGGTATTAAAACACACCACACTTTAGTCCCTTGGTATATAATACACTATTTTTATATAGTGTGTATTCACAAGTTCTTGAAAGCAGGCGGTAAAAATGGTTTTTGGACATCTCGCAGCCAGCGAATACTTGCTTGAATTAAGACCTCATCATTTTCAGAGACGACCAACCCTATTTTTTAAGACACCCAAAGAATGGAAACTGTTATCGGGTATGCACTACTTACTGTAGATGCTTTGGTCTTACTTGCATGAGGGCGACCCATGTTACCCTAAAATAATCCCTGACAAGTTACTGAGCTGAGCAGTTTGCAACGTTGAAAATACCCCTCAAATCATACCGTTGGTAACAACGCCGCTTTCAACCCTTGTTAAATTTGTGGATATATTTTATTTAAATCTCCATTCCTTCAATTTGAAACTATACCGGGTGATACTTAAATAACTTCAATAGGTCATATCTTTTTGTTAGTGGGTCGAAAAAGAAAATTGTTTCGAAACGCTTTAGTGCGGGAAAATTGCATGTTGAATTAAAAATAAAAGAGCACTACAAAAAAACCAAAAACAGATAAAATCTTTCGGTAGCGCATTGAAGTTCAAGTTCATAAACAACTGTAAAAATCGTTCCACTTTGTAATTTTTCCTACCATTTAAAAGTTTGGGAATAAGCAAACTTTAGTTTCTCGTGTTTGGTGTATGGTTTAAACAACCCGATCAAATTTAATTTAATTTATTATACAAACGATAAAGGGATATTTTAACCATTGTAACTTTCACGAGATGGGTAATTTCCCTTTATCGTCGTGTATAATACAAAACTTTATTTTATAGCAGAAGCCATATAAATCATGGTCCTGATCATGGTAAACCTTCTGGCAATTCGGAATTTAATTTAGTCGTCAAAATGAGCAAACTTGAGTTCTGCCGTCGGAGTCCTTTCCATAGAAACAGTATTTTCATATGTTATGAACGTCATTCTATTTTGTGCTCTGAGTCCCATTTGAAATAGGAATGACAGGTGTCATTAGAACGCATCATATGTTTCACTTTATCTACTCTCACGGTTAAAGAGCGACTTAGCCTACTCGTTCAAACATAAAAATGTCTGCTATCTGATATGAGGGCAACAAGTACCCGATATTAGGCCGCACTTTAGTCCTGTGGTATATGCGCCATTTTTTGTATTCCTGTAATAAGATCCAGCAACTTGAATGTTATCCAAATTTGAAGGAAAAGGCAGACCAGACCACTTTTCCCGCATGTTTCCGGTCACAAAACACAGAACGTCTACACTTATGCCGAAATTAATGCGCAAAAGAAAAGCACACCTGCCTTTCCGTTATCGCTTCTAACGGTGGTAAAGAATACGTGCATTAACTAAATTAGGCGCGATAACGTTTCTTATCTCAAAAGGACCAGATAGAACTTAAATGCATTGGACCAGATGTTTAACACGTAATTCTACATCTTATAATTTAAATACAGAAATTTACACATGGGATAAAATTTAAACAAAGAAATTAAGCTACTAAAATCAAAGCTAAAATGGACAAATAGATACCAAAATAACAAATTTCGACAAAAACAACCAATTCCGCGCTTACTTGTATTAAAATCCTCGATTAAACTAAATTTAGACATTCACACAAACAGAATTGCCCGCCCTTATCTTCGACATTATTCCAACCTAAAGAACCTCCATCTGACCTTGTTTTACACAACATTAAGAAGGTGGTTATACTTGTTAAATAAATAAAACACCTTATAAAATTTATTTTTGGAATCAATATTCTCAAACTTTTCTGTTTTTGGATTTTTGTTATCGACCACGTGTGTTTACGAACGCAGTAAATTAAAGACTCGTGTTATTTGGACAAACCGAGTGCGTGATTTAAAAACTGTTTGTGTATTCAATTTTGTTTTTCTTAATGTTAGCCCGGAAGTTCTACGTGACGTTTCAGTATTTTGTATATGTGTGGGTCATACTGGGCAATCAGGTGGAACACATCAATATTTGTAACATAATTTTAGAAATCCCTGCAGGCTAAACATTGAAGTTGTTCTCACGTGGAAATGCAAAGCTAAACTGAACAATGTTGGATACAATGCTTCTTTAATTGATCTACACTATTTTAACATAGCTTATACTATCTACCAAAATGTACATTTCTTTGACGGATTCATATTAGAACCAATAGGACAATTAAAATCTTTGGAAAAGCTTTTGGAATTAATTATAACTCCATAAATTCTATACATAGATGGGGGATGAGTTCGCACTAACATAGTGGACCTCAACTGTTCCTTTCTTTCTTTTGTACACCACGCATTTGCGTACGAAATCCAAAACATCTGGTTGGGTGTGTAATCTAAATTTGGTAGGCACTTTTCGGGCTCGTTCTTTGCCACCCATTCTTGATACGCATCGTACGCTATTTTCGCACCACCATTGTCAGCAATATTTTCACCTTGAGTTATTATTCCATTCAGCTAAAAGGGCGCGAATAAAAATTGGAAGTTTTCCGTGCGCATTTTACGTGTATTTTTAATTCTTCGGATTTGAATCCGCTATACTGATCGATAATGCACTGGGCCTTTTCCGTGTATGACTTTTCCGTGTCGTAAGTCCACCAGTTTTCCAACTGTCCTTCTTTGCTGATTTGCTTTCCGGTGTCGTCAAAACCGTGTGTTATTTCGTGACCAACGACAAAGCCAATGCCACCGTAATTCATATACTTGGGACGATTGTTCCTAAACATAACCCCTTGTAAGATGGCGGCTGGTATAACTGGAAGAAATTCTGATTATCACTACGTTTGTAATCGATTTACCTATCGCGTTCTCAGTAAAATGGTAAAAAGCGTTAACTTCGTGAGAAACGCTATGGTCCGCCCAATCACTCTTTTTTACGGGTTCTAATAAACTTCTGTACATTTTGTCGGCTGCAAAAGTTTGAATATCCAAGAGATATTGCAAATAGTCTTCGGATGAAGTTAGCTGAAAACGGTAGAAGTTTTACTAGGTAAGATTCTTTAATGTTTACATTTTTGTAATAATCATCAAGCACTGTATCATTCATTAGCTCATGCGGATAAGCAATGTGCATTTCGATATCTTTCGCTTTGTTAAGGGCTGTATTTTTTGTTGCATCATCCATCCAATCTACCCCTTCCAAGATTTGCAAAAACTTCGTGTGCAGATTTGTCACAATTGAAGCGACATTCTTCTTCGCCTCCTCATTGAAATATTTCCTTGCGTACACTGCGGAAACTGCCACCTTCATTCTAAGCACAACTTGAGAAAAAAAAAGTTTTGACATCAAGAACTCACCGTTGCGTTGTAACAGTGACACACTCCCTCCACCTTAAGGATTCGGAACTGGTCCCAAACAGCCTTTGAGCCAAGCGATTGTCGACTTCTTTTATTTTCCTATTTAATGCATGGCCTATAGATGCCACAGCCACGGTGATAGCATAATTGGCTATTACTCTACAATGCACGTCGATGGAGTGTAATATAAAACTACAACACACTTACCTTTTAGGCGTCTTTTCAAGTAATTTCAGCAAATCCCCTAAAGCTTTAGGAAGACCTACGTCGACTAGATCTTGATCCGATAGCTTAACATCGGGAAGCGCAATAAGATTGTTGATGTACTCTAGCCAATCTATACCCGGAAATCTTTGTCGCAATTCTGCAATTGTCATAATGTTAGTAATTGCGGTTATATTTCGAAGATGCTCAGGAGGTACGGAAATCTAAAATGGTCGTTAAAAGCTGCGATAAAACATCAGCAAGGTTACCATCGCCAACTCGATTAGGAACTCAAAAAAATGTTTGAATTCGGCGACGGCATAACTCCTGGACCCGCCGTAAATTTCCGCCAAATCAACAATGTAGTCGTAGTACGCGAACACTACTGTGTTATTAAAACCGTGCATCAGATTTAGCCGATTGACAGGCAACTCGGGTTGGTCGAACTAAAACAGAATAGAATGGCAAGTGAATGATCGCTTGGGGTTACCAACCACGAAAATGTTACGGCTGGAATTTTTAACATTTTGTTCTATGCGCGTATTCATTAAGTGCTTTATAGGTAATCCGTGCTTCCTAAGTTCGTACATCAATTGCTTCCAGTCGAATTCCTCTTCTCTCCACGCTTCCCCATCCACTACCGGCCAACCACCAAGACTTTTAATTAGCGAATGTGCTGTCCGTAATCCATTTCGCTCTATCGTATCGGTATCGGAACAGAGTTGGAAAAGCTTCTTCACCAACTTTGAGGATTTTGGTTCATTTTCGCTCACGGGTTCCATCAAAGCTGCCCCCAGTTGATTGTATACCACATCGGTAATCTCAAACAGTTGACTTATTTCGCTTTGATCGTCTGGTATTACGTGATTTGACAAGTAACCACCGCACGCAAAATTATAAAAATCCTCACAGGGGTGCACTGATTCGTTAATGTATTTTCGTACATCTTCAGAGGTACGCTTGCAACTCTCCGATGCGCAAGTTTCCGTACATCTGGAAAACAAATGTGATGATATTGTCTACTCTCAAAAGTACTCACTTGGCGTTTCGATCATCCACAGGTGCCGCGAACGTGTCAATAACGACTGAGATTGACACAAAAAAAATCACACTAAACACCATTATGAGCTAACGAGCCAAACAACTCATAATCTCCAGATATCTACCAACTGTATATATATACAAAAAAAATTGAGACCGATAACTTCAGAAAGAGGTTAAATCGTTATTACTTCAATGCTTGCGTATCACCAGTGTTTACTAGGAACCTATATGCACGAAGTATAAATGAGTTCATAAAATTGTGTAATGTATGTAAATAAATTACATGGCTCTACTCTGCCACAAACTGAGTTGGATGGAGGGGATTCTTGGAAAAAGGCTGCACGAGGAACACCATCAATATTTACTTGTGTGGTAGCGTTTTGGCTATTGCCCCAAGCGTGATTAATTTACGACCAACGGGCAAATAAAGGTTAGCTAACCTGCTTGGTATAGATTTCGTGGGCCAACATTGAACAAAAACACGGTCGACTGAATTCGAAGGTGAAGAGGACACGGTACAGCAGTGCATTGGCAGTGAAGCGAGAACTCCCAATGTTAATTTCCGATGTGCTTAGAAATAAGTGCGATTTTTTTCCCTATTTTTTATGTTTATTTCGATCGTAATAAGAAAATAGGAGTGTCTATAAGTTATCTGATTTTTTATTTAGGATGACCATGACCACGAATTCAAAATATACAACAAATAAAAAAATAGCGTACGTTTTTTATTGTTTTCCGATTATTAGTACCATTAACATTGACATAAAGGGTAATGGCGTGGATCACATCAGGAAGTAAAGTACTATTTGCACGTGTCTTCATAATCATTATGTATTCTTCTGCGTTTATATTTAATTTACCTAACAAGTAAACAATTATAACATTCCAGTCGTAAATTACGCGTTAAGGTAGTTTATTTTATTTAAGGAATTCCATTCAACAAACTTGCTAGATAACAAATTACACATATATTTTGATTCAACTTTTCTGGTATATATTTGTTACTGTACCAACAATATTATGCGAAACAGTACCCGTCTTGTCTGTGTAGTGGCATGATAATATTGTAAATTTAATTATATTACAAACTACAAAATACGCCCGGTTTATTTATGATTTTTAGATGACCACTTTTAATTATAAATGTCATTTGTATCTAAATGGTATCTGGTACAAGAGTGACTGGAATTGTACGCTATTATGCGACCAATACCGTAGGTATCTCTGTAAATGATCTGTTAAATTTTAATATTTTTGGATACCATGCTGTTTATACATTTCGCACATGTATCATCCACCAATGTTCGACCTTCCAAAATAATTGTTGCTGTTGGTGTTGAATTAATTATTGAAGTACATGTTTAATCAATTTTAGTTTCCAATACTTAGTGCATCTTGGACACTCCCATTGCAACTAAGATGTATTCTGTATTTAATCTTTTTACCAAAAAAATGTGCATGTGTTTCGTGGAAGTCTTCGCGTTTTCGATTTTTCCCAAAAATAAGGCTGTAAACTTGGTCCTGGTATTGCTATGGAGATGATACTTGGTTCTCGGTACAATTTTCGTTTTTCAAAATATCACAGCGTAGACGATTCGCTTCCGCTCGTCAACGCACAGGTTGGCTCCGCAAGGTAACTAGCGCAGGTTCATCGTCTGAGATCACTTAACTTCCGAACACGAATTGACTTATACTTATGCCCATTCTCTGAGTATCTACTGTAATTAACTTCCGCCTATCTCACTACGACGGAGCGTTAGAAGTACTGTGTTCCTCTTTTACCGACTTCGGACCGAATAGACACGCTCTTTGCGGGTACTGAATTGACAATGACTCATACTCAATTACCTCATTCCGAATATACATACGTAGGCGGTTACTCATATTCATTATCAGTTACCGTTGAAGGAGTTGTAGGTTGATTTAGAAGCTTTTTTACCAATTTGGTATGCCACTCTCCTTAAGGTAGTTTACTCAACATTTTTTTCGCTTTGAGAACGGATGATATGGCGCTGAAGTTTTGTGCCTGATCTTGTTCTTCTTTGAGAATTCTGCAAATTCCGCCGATGCTTAATGCGTCTGCATTTGCGATTGTCGGACCTGGAACATGGCTAACTGTGTAATTATGGCGATGTCAAACTAATGAGCATCGCAGAGGTCTTCGAGATTTAATTTCTGGGGTCGAAAATCCCCAAAAGTGGTTTCTGGTCTGTACGAACTTCGAATTTGTTCCCAAACACTATTAAAAATATTAACGGTTTGTTGATATGAAAATGCTGCAAAAAGTGAATTGAATGATAAGTTATAACGTGTAGGTACCATTGGCACTGCTTTCCTCAAACCCGCTGCATAAACGGCCAACTAACTCAGGGTAAAAGACAAAATAAGAGCTTGAGAATCTTCCACAGTGGTAGTTCGCTCTGGGTAAAATGATCTTCTTAACTTCCGTGCACATGTCAACGGTTGAGCGCCACTCAATTTCTAACTTAACTCCCCCGGCATGAAATTGAGAAGATATGAGGGGATTAAAAACAGTATAAAATAAATAAATAAATAAATTCAATTACCAAACTAAACGCTGGTTTATTGTAATTAAATTGCGAAATTAAAATTGTCTCCCCAATGTGATAGCGTAACATGCAAATATTCAAATGTTCAAAATTTTGAGTTACGTTACACAAAAAATCTTAGTAACTTGGAATGAATGATGGAATGATCGATTTAATTGATTACTCGATCTTAAAACAAGTTTCCACCAAGAAATTGATGTTCCGCTCCTAACACATGCGCACGTACAGGCCAAATACAAGTAAAACATAAAAATGCAACGCCTACCTTAATGTAACCTAGATGTCATCCAGAGAAGTGAGCTCAGTTCCCGGATGTCCATAAAATCTGCAACAAAAGAAAACTCTCAAGCTGCAGAGCTCGGAATGCATTAAACTGAATAGTGCCTATAGGGCCTCACCTTACTTGTAGTAATCTTCTACCCCAAGTACGATAATTAATCGGCCAGCCGCTTCAGAAGGAAGTTGAAGGGTTGTCAATACCATACGCGGGTTTAATTCGATCATCACTTCACAGAGATCGCAAGGTAATAATATTAACAAAATTACTTACAAGTGATCGGATATAATCCGGAAGAGCCAAAATAATTAGTAATTAATACGCAAAAAGTTGCGGAAGTTGTTTCTTGGTTGAGGATCGAATCTTGTTATCAAATCTGGTGAATGACTCCGTGTTCCAATTTCATAAAATGGCGGCCCCTTAGGACTTTTCTTCAGTTTTAGAATCTTAGAAGGTCCACATTTGCCAAGAGGCTCCGTTAAAAAAACATTGGACTGCCTGAGTCCAGTTGACCTGGAATTGACTGGTCACCCAGTATTTAATTCTGGCCCTGACAACGGAGGGAGCAATTCCTAGGGTAAGCTCGGGAACGACGATTTCCCTACCACTGTCTTCACAAGCCAGTTCGTCCGCTCTTTCGTTACTCCCTTATTCCGCAGGACGCCATGCCCGTTCCCTTTTCCGTTAGGGACCCGTCCGTAAAACACACGAGCAAGTAAGCAAACAGTAAGGTGTATTTTTTGTGCAGAAAGTTTCATTATTTTGAATATATCAATAGGTGTAGTTAGGAAAGAGCGTGACCGCGAGTTGAAATTTGTTCACGTGGTTAAAGTAAGCACGAAGTAGTAAAGTAACTGATGGGAAAGGTCGATTTGAGTGAATAGATGGAATGAATGGAAGAGGTGCAGTTATGGAACAACTGATTTGCGATGTTGCCGACATTGTATGAAACTATCCAGGATTTTTCTCTAGAAAAAAATCACAAAAAAAATCTGGAATGACCGTTTAGAAAATCTCAAATTGTCGGTTTGGAATTTTGTTTGGAAAATTGTCGCAACTATGTTTTGTTTCCATTCGACTTAATTTGTGATTTAGGTACAAGAAAACAGGAGAATTTTGGTTATTCCAGTAGCATAGTATATGTATAAAGGTGAAATTCAAAGTAACACTCAATCTGGTCAAATATAAGATCTGAAAGTAATGCTTTCGCATATAATTGCCTCCACCATAGTCCAAATAAGCATCCGTAATCCGTATAAAAGTACAATACCAAACTAAAATATCCGGACTGTTGTAAATAGCTATACTTTACAATAGTGTAAAAATACAAATGTTCATAAATTTTGCGTCAGTTTTGGGTAATCTACTTCCCAGAAAATAAAGGTAACAAGGGTAAAAAATTTATACATATATTCATAGTTTACGTATAGAGACCGGAAAAGTCAAATATACGTACAACGTACTTTGTTTGTTTGAAGTGCAAATTGCGCGTATAAACTGGATCGTCTTAAAAACAATCTTTAGGCATGTCGTAGTTTTCTACCGCCAGCGGCATGAATGACTTAAGACGGATATTCAATTAATACGAGTAGATTCCTTATAAATGATGTTGATGCATTGAACTTAGTTGAATAATTAACTTAAACACACGTGTCGCAAATTACCGCAAAAGGTGCAATTAAAGCAGTTTTTTCAGTCCTCACTGAATGATAGTAAAATGTCCCCATTACCTGTTGCCAGTCCCAACTTCTACAAATGACCACCACATCAAAGCTGCGCTTTATGATTTTGTATACTTTAAATATGCAGCATATCCTAAAGTCCGAGTCTCCTAAATGACTTTGCACCATTTGTGGTAAGAGCGACTTGCATTTATGTAGGTATTGTAAAGACCAGAAAGGTACCAAGGTTGCATATGATTCATTCATTTGGACGCATCTAGTGTATTGTTAGCCTGTACCATAAATAAATAATGTACCTATTCATGTTTAGATAAATATCAACAGCCAGATTTATTGCCCATTACCATCGGAAATACATTAAATGCACTTAAGGAGAATCTAGACAAACCCTTCGGATGTTTTCCATCTGAAATTGATGATTTTGAGATTTTTACCATAATTCATCATGCAGTTAGGATCACGTCAAGATTTTTCTTGGACGAGATGTCACATCTTTAAAGGGGCTTTAAAGTTCTTGTAAGGTTTCCTTAGATATAACATTCTAGTGACTTTTATAGCATTTATGATTCTTTAAGTGTATTCAAAGTCTTCTAAACGTCTTAGGTAGGTTTCTGGCGAAGCCTTCATGACGTCCAAGTTTGCTTTTTGTGGAAGTAACTCTGAAAAGAAGCGTTCTGGACCATTGCATTGGATTATTTGAAAATGAAATGTTTGCTTTGGGCTCCTATAGAAGTCGATCTTAGAATCAGATGAAGAATAGAATGCGGCCGATCCGAACAACTGCCTTAGCGTACTGTAAAACGCAGGAACTGTAGGATAAAAGTGTAGATCACGCACGCGTTGCCTTTTTCTAGAAATGTAACCTCAGAGAAATATTTATCGACACAAAATAGTAAATTCGGAGTACCAAAAACGATGTACGCATAGAATAACAATCTGGTTAATTGTAATTGAGATAACTGAGATGCTGTTGGACTCCAACGGATATGCGAATTAATGTAGATAAATGTTCTAAAAAGCCCAACTGTGTCAAAGGTCACCTTTTAATACTTGGTTGACCAAAACAAGTCCGTAACCTATCCATGATTTATCATGCCTTTCCAAAAGTTATCTACAATTGAGTAAGAGACATGTTCCTTATAAATAATGCACAACAACACGGTAGTTTATTGTTAAACTGTAATGGAGCAAGTAGTGTTTTTATTTGTGACATGTGCGTTCGTCCTTTTATCCGCTGCGGCGGCGCCCACCACAGAGGTCACTACGTAAGTAAATTTCATCTCTTTTTCTTTCCTAAGATGCGTTTCAACCTTTAGGTGTACAGCAGAAACCACGGATACCTCAGACGAGAGCAAGCAAGCATCTGCTGCCATATTAAAGTTCATAGATCAGTCGGTGAATCCTTGCGATGATTTTTATCAATTTGCATGTGGTGGGTATATAAAAAGTAAGGAAATTCCTCCCGACGATGTTGAAGTGAGCCAATTTCGCGACATTAACAATGTCGTTACCGAGCAACTACATCAGTTACTCAAAGAACCGATTGACAGTGATGCGCCAAGGTGGTCAAAAATCCCAAAACAGTTTTTCCAAGCGTGTGTCAACTCAGAAAAGAAAAACCATGGGATAAAAACGATGAAGGCATTGTTGAAGGAGGTCGGTGGTTGGCCGGCAGTTGAAGGTGATCATTGGAGTGGTGATGATTTTAATTGGGAAGAGATGATTTACAAGTTTAGAAAACATGGGTTCTTAACTTCGCAATTTCTTGCGACAATAGTCGATATTCATCTTCGTAATTCTTCAATGCGCGTGATCGCTGTGGGTTATACGAATCGAAAGGTAGCAGACTAATTAGATTTCTTTGCAGATCAAGCAACCTCGAACGCTTATTAATCGCGTAAACCTGGAGAAAGGATTTGATGATAAAATAGTACAGAGCTATTATAAATTTTTGGTTGATTTGGCAGTTGCTTTTGGTGCAAACAAGGATATGGCACTCGCAGAAATGAAAGCTTTCGTAGATTTTATGAGGGAAATATCGCAAGTAATTGGGTCTTAGTAATGAACACTAGCATTTCATATCCTATTATCTAGATTAAGTTGCCACCTGAAAAACTTCGTAATTTAACAGCACTATCAAACGTTATGACAGTGGAGGAATTACAAAAACAGTTTCCTTACCTGAACTGGGTTGAGTACCTCACCAAGGTGGTTGGCCCCAACGTTGAAATCACTGCGAAAGATTTTGTTGACGTGAACATGCCGACCTATGTGACCAATTTGGGAATCTTATTAAACAAAACTGAGAAAAGGTAGGTGGACAGACGCATCCCTTAATTTTGACCGTAAATTACAGAGTGCTAGCGAACTATGTTGTCACTCTAGCTGTAGAGTCGGGATTACAGTTTTTAAGTAGTGAAATCAGAGACCTTCAACTTGAGTTGAAAAAAGCGAGAACGGGTGTATCATCGGTTATGGCTAAATGGAAGGAATGCATAGGCGCGGTTTCAAGCCAGTAAGTTGAAGTAATGTAAAAAATATTGTGCGTACTTATGCCGATTTGTCAGCCTAAACATTGGGACTGCAGCTTTATACGCTCGTAAACACTTTACCAAAGAAGCAAAGGCAAATATAGCAAAATTAATAACGGATTTGCACGAGGAGTTCATAGATATATTGAAAGTAGTCGACTGGATGGATGAGGACACTAGAAACGAAGCTTTAACCAAAGCTAAACCTATAAGGAAGCATGTTGCTTACCCACAGGAACTCCTAGATGACGACATTCTAAATGAATATTACAAAAGCGTAAGTTCACGTACCTAATATCCGCTTATACTCCAGCAATGACGACTTTTAGCTGGAATATTCGGATGACTATTTACATTTAGGTTTAAATGTAAATAAATTTAGCTGGGATAAACAGTCTGAAACCCTATTTGAGCCGGTTGTTGCAAGCGATTGGAAACAGCAAAGCATCTCGCATCAAGTTAATGCTTTCTATGATTCATCGGATAACTCGATAAGTAAATGAGCTAGCGGCATGAGCCCCGCTTTTATGTATTGCTTTATGTAGTCATACCTGCTGGAATCTTACAAGGCGCATTGTTCGGGCACGGCCGGCCGGACTATATGAATTACGCTGGTATTGGTTTCATAGCTGGTCACGAGTTGACACACGGATTTGATGATAGAGGAAAGCAGTTGAACAAAATGGGAGAATTAGAAACTTGGTGGAGTCCCGAAACCGAAATTGCTTACACGGAAAAAGCTAAATGCATCAGGGACCAATACAGCAGTTTCAAGTCGGAAAAGTTGGACGCGCATGTAATGTAGCATTTACATTTCATCCAGCTTACCTTTTCATTCCAGGTGAACGGTATTGTTACCCTGGGCGAAAATATTGCAGACAACGGTGGCCTTAAAATTGCCTACCGGGCGTACGAAAAACATCGCGGTTCTGAGAAGTGTCTTCCGAATTTGGCGTATACTCCCAAACAGCTATTTTGGATAAGTATGGCAAACGTCTGGTGTACAAAGCAACGGGAGGAGCAAACGAAAATGGAACTGTTGACGAGCGGTCATACACCGTCGATATTTCGGGTGAACGGTGTTGTAACTAATTCTAAAGACTTTGCCAGAGACTTTAATTGTCCTGCAAACTCGAGAATGAACCCTGAAAAGAAGTGCACGTTTTGGTAGTGTAAAATAGAAACTTTTTTGCCTAATTGAACATTTACACGTAGCCAGAGATTTTTAAATTTAATCTACTTAAATCAATGTAACAGAATAATCTACTTAACAACACGAAATTATAACGATACTCTTAAGGTTCTAATTCACGGCGATTGAAAAACAATTAGTAATTAGTTTTCTCCTAAACTCGCATCTTATAGAAATTTTCTGAATTCAGGATTCCCCTAGGTCGAAGTTCGTATTCGTGGTATATGTAGTTGAAGGCGATGAACAATTGTTATCCAAAATATGTAAATGACTATTCCCCTTACGTGACTTATCCAGTGTGCAAAATATGTTGGTGAGATAACACGCCCCAGCACCTTCGCTTTCTACGTTTTTTTGGTTTTTCATTAGAAGGTTGCCACTGCTCGGCAGTACTTGCTTTAGAGGTTATGACAACAAATCGATATATTTCATTTAGCATCTTACCTGAATAATAATTTCTGTTAATTCAATACCGAGTAATTCGCAATATCACTCTGTTAAAACTGGTAAATAAGACTATTACACCCAAAATGCACGGGAAATCTACAAAGTTGTATTAGGAAATCGGTCCTACCTGCAGTGTTGCCATAATTCTTAGCACTGGTTGTAAATATAGATGGTTGTGATTTTATTAAACATAAAAACAAAATTCCAATGCTACCTACCAGGACAATAAGTATTGAACGGAGTATATATGTCAAGTCCTACAGTTAGTCATTGGGACCTTCAAATGACAGGTGAAGAAATGTATAGACCATTTATACACCTGGAGGTACACCAATAGGTAAGTCCCAAAAGTACTACAACAAAGAGAAAAAGAAGATTACCTATTACAAAAATGTATACAGCCAGCCATCCATATTTGTAACCGTAATTAGACGCAAATTTCTATGGGTAACCATTACTTTTCTGTCTACGTGTTTACCATATTTATCTTTGGAGTAGTTTTCTCTTTCTCTTTGATGTCTTAGTGACTCCATCGAAACGTTTTTACGGATTTTGCAGTTAGAGAACTCGAGATATGTTATATTACTACGCAGTTCTTTTCTTAAGGATTTTAATGTTTCTCACCTTTCACAAATTTTTTTCTAAGTTCTTAATGTTATTTGTTTTGGATTACTCTTTACGTTTGACCTACTTGGATATTTACGCGTTACCGACCCAGTAAGTAGCAGTTTTATTTGGACCCGCCATTTTCGCAAAAGTGTCGAACGACGCGTAGATGTTTCTACATTACCGGCTACGAAAATTCTACTTCAATTCTACTAAACAGCTGATTTTACTTGTAACCTAATTACATGAAGTTTGTTGATCTACACATCAATATTGTTCCTGAGTTGTAACCGCAAGTTTATTAGAGAACTTAGAAAAATTTATCCTGTAATACCTGGACTGTCAGGACAACCGTAGTCGATGAAAATTTTGTTTTTGCTAAGGTAAAGTCATTCCAATTATTGATCCTTTTTGATTACTAATACAGTTTGAATATCCGACTTACCTACTTAGTGTCAGCCATTAGCATTGCTATTTCGCAATACTTCATGTACAGCGCGATTCACTAACCCCTTTTATTTGTGTTGTGTATGTGTTGTTGTCTGTTACAGATTTGTAGAACGCGCCCTTCTTGAGCTCACAAGGCCGTTGCGACCTGAAGTTCAAAAGGTATTTCTTGTTATTTTCGCCGATTCCTTGATTAACATTTGATTACAAATCTTTCGATACAGTCGAATTGTAATTATTACAAGTGCTTGAGATGCAATTTAACCCACACAAAGGAATGGGGATTTAGACATAAAAGGCGTTTTTTAGTGCACTTTCACTTTCAAAAAATAAAAAGTGCACGTTTTCGCTCTTGATATCGGTCTGTCTGTCTGTCTGTCTGTCTGTCTGTCTGAGTCACAAAAGCTCCGGAACTACACCACTTACAGACTTGGTATTGTTGTCATTCAGAAATTAAAAATTATTTCATGTTTGTATTCTCCTTAAGGCATAAAATGTTGATAAGGGCTACTAAAATCGAAATAAACAAATTTGAAAGTGCACTCTTCGCCTCTTGCTCACAAGCGGCTTAACGAATTTTTTTTATTTGTAATCATTCAGATTTGTTTCTAAATGTCGTTTGCACAAAATTTGAATTGTTGTTGTTGGTGGACATATACGTCATGAGGGTCGCGTTTCCTTAGATAAGTTGAGTTAAGGGTTTCCTTAACCATTTCTATAGGAAAAACATTTCAGCATATTTCAATGGAACATAATTTGTAGGTATTTCAGCAATAGACCTTAGAAAACTACACACGACTTTCAATCGTATAATTGGAACATTAAACTTTAGTATCACCAGAACGTACATTTCTTTTCTGAATGCATTTTTGCACTCGAAGGGCAATTAAAATCTTTTGCAAACTCTTTTGAATTCGCTACAACTCCGTATACTCTATACATTGACGGTGAATGATCACTGGTTTCCATTTCCACTTTTAAGTTTTCATCTCTTTTCTTCGTGCACCATACGTTCGCCATAGATATCCAAAACAATTGTTTAGGGGTATATTCCAAATTCGGTAGGCACTTTTCCGGCCCGTGTTCCTCAACGTACTTTTCATAAGCCTCATATGCAAGCTTAAGGCCACCGTTATCAGCAATATTTTCTCCAAGAGTCACAATACCGTTCACCTGCATCAAAAATGTAAATTTTAAATCTAGTAGCGAATCAATCACTTACGTGAGCGTCCAGTTTCTCCGACTTGAAATTGTTGAACTGATCCAGGATGCATTTCGCCTTCTCACCGTACGCCTTTTCCGTTTCGTCTGTCCACCAATTGTCCAATTCGCCGATTTTGCTAATTTGTTTTCCTCTATCGTCGAATCCGTGCGTCAATTCATGTCCAGCTATGAAACCGATACCGGCGTAATTCAGATAATTTGGACGGCCGTGCCTGAAAACGGCACCTTGCAATATGGCGGCCGGTATGACTGCAAAACGGCAATTTGAAATTGTTTAAAGCGCCATAATCGGTTTATTACTTATGGAGTTTTCGGATAGGTGATAAAATGCATTTACTTCATGGGATGAACTGTGTTCTTTCCAATCGCTTCTATCAACTAGTTCGAATAGGGTTTCAGTCATTTTATTCCTTCTAAATTTGCCAATACTTAAACTGAAGTGTAAATAGTCGTCCGTGGCTTCTAGCTAAATTTGAATTTGTTTGAAGGATGCTTTGTGAATGGTACAACTTACGCTCTCGTAGTAATCATTTAAGATTTTGTCGTCCAAGAGTTCATTAGGAAATGCAATGTGTTCCTTTATAGCTTTGGCTTTTTCTAGAGCTTGATTTTTAGTCTTCTCATCCATCCAGTCTACCTTTTGCAACATTTCTATGAACTTCTCGTGTAAGGTTGTTATTAGTTTAGCTACGTTGACCTTGGCTTCCTTCGTAAAGTACTTACGAGCATATAAGGCCGCTGTCGCAATTTTGAAGCTATTCATAGGCTAACTTAAGATGTCATCATTGAAAGAAGCATACTTACTTTTCAGATACCTCTCCTAGGCACTCTTTCCATTTTGGAGGTACCGACGATGTACCACTTAACGCTTTCCCCAACTCCATTTCCAGATCTCTTACTTCCTTGCTTAGATATGTCGCAGTGGACATTAAACTTAACGTTATGGCGTAGTTCGCTACGACTCTGTAATATACAGCTTACAAAGATTGTCATTCGGGTCTCCATACCTTTTTGGTGTCTTTTCTAACAGGGATTCCAGGTTTGTAACATACTTAGGCATGCCGACGTCAACTATATCATTTTCTGTTATTTTAACATTGGGACCTATCACACTACTGAGGAATTCTTCCCAATTTATGTAAGGGAACCTTGTTTGTAATTCCTTTACTGTCATAATATTTGTCATTGCTGTTAAATCACGTTGCTCTTCCGGTGGTATCGTAATCTACAGAAAAATAATGAATTTTAGATTAAAATTTCGTGCTCTTACGTCTGATAAATCCTTCATAAAGTTAATTAAATCTTTCATATCGGCAAGTGCAATATCCTTGTTTGCTCCAAATATTGAAGCGAAATCAACCATGTATTTGTAATAGGCCTGAACCCTTTTGTCATCAAAACCTTTACCTAGGCTGATTCGATCAATAACCGTATCAATTTGTCCGATCTACAATAAATCCCAATAGACTTGATTACAGAAGACCACCAGTAACTTACGGCAATGACTCGTGTCGAAGAATTCTTTGGACTAGGATCCACCCTAGTCATAAGAAACTGATTAGTACCTATTCCAAGTTCCCTAAATTTGTAGATTAACTTCTTCCAGTCAAAACCATCTCCTTTCCAGTTTTCGCCTTCTAACACAGGCCACCCGCCTAATTCCTTTATCAACTCCTTTATCGATTTTAAACCCCGTTTATTTATTGCATCTGTGTCGGAGCAAGTTTGGAAAAACTGTTTCGTCAGTTTTGACCATCTTGGTTCTTGGTCACCGATTGGTTCTTTCATTAATACGTGTAGTTGTTCGAAAACTCCATTGTTGACATTGATGAATTGGCTTATTTCCTCACCGTCAGAGGGTATTTCGTGATTTTTTATGAATCCACCGCAAGCAAAATTGTAAAAGTCATCGCAGGGATCGACGGATTTGTCAATAAACTTCGATACTTCATCAGCTGCTTTCTTAGCACTGTCTGAATTATCGGTGTTCTCGGCTGTACACCTGCAAAATGAAATCATCAATAACAAAAAAGAAGCTTTAGTTTTTACTTACTTTACAATCTCCTCCGAGGGGGCGGCCGCCGTTAATATTAAGGCTGACGAAACAACCAAAAATATCCAGACCACTTGCGCCATGATGGTTTTGTTTTAAATTCCCTTGTTGCGGTCCCACTTTATATAGGGCCTAGCGATGTTACATAAACCGCAGATAAAAAATATCAGATAACCTTTAAGAAGTATCATAGTCTAAGCGATAGGAACTTGCTGTAATCCTTTCCGATGCGTTTATCACAGTTAAAAATTTATTTTGCACAAACAAAACAACACGTTTATTGATCGATGAGCTGTTTTTTGGTTAATTATAGATAAGGTATTTTAGATACCATCGTGTAATTGGCGAATACATTATCCAGAAGATTGATACCTTGTCCCTTAATTATATATCTAATAAGTGGGTTAACGAGTGGGAGGTTATCATCACAAAGATTAGGAAATGGCTTGACCAAAAACAAATTAAATAAGTAGGTGATTATGAGAACCTCCTCAATTTTTCTTTCCCTGCATCTGAGCACTCCAGTTTGGAGTACATAAAACTGGAAGGGTGCAGAGAAGGAATCAGACCGGTGTTTTGATTTGCTTGATAGTTTAATACCACGTCGCTTCTGGTCCCTGCTACGGGATGGAAACGATTTAAAATGACAAACAGACGCTCGATCCCTGCCCCATCTCATTAGTTACCAGTTACCACCAAAATTCACATTTCTAATACAATTTGGTTTGATCTATACACCGGGCAGTACAGTCAGTCACTAGGTCATTCAAATGCAAGTTATTCGAATTAGGCAGGTGAAGGTCATGAATTTATGGATTTTTTGTTGAATAAAAGTCAAAATTTCTAAGTCCAAGTGCAGAGTCAGTCTGGCACCATATGCAACCATTTTTTTTAGTAATTAAGAACCATTTCCAGGTTTATCAACAAAAAATGTTGTTGCCGAAATCCACCTAAAGAAGAAATTGAGAACTTATAATTTGTTCGTTATGGTTTTATTGATTTTACATTCATTCTACACTATGGAAAAGGTATCAAATGCATATTATGAATATATATATATCTATACGCAATATATACGAAATATAAGCTCCGTTTCCGCACTATTTAGGTAGAATTATTTTTTAAGGGTTCCGGTAGCGGTGCCGGTTCTGTGGCTTCAGTACTTTTCGGTTCCGGTTCCAGTTTTTTTTTGCTTGAAAAAACTTTTACAATAGAAAGGACCCAGACGTTTTCGTGGTGGATTAAAAAAGTGCTATTTTAATTTTAAATTTAAATTATACATTAGAACGTATACACCTGGAGAAATTGAAATTTGGATTAACACTGAAAGCGTATAAAAGGTTATGACGGTAGCTTCCAATTTGGATTCGATTTGATTTCGAATGTTTTTAAGAAAGCGGTCATTTAGGAGATTGGAGATCATTTAGGAGTGCGCATTGTTCCAGGCTTGTTAGCAGAAAACGATCAGGGTAATGGAAGTATAGTCTTGGTATATTTCAAAATGATGAATGATGAATTTAGATTTGGGAAATGGAAAATGCAATTTATATTATTTATTATTATTATTATATTTGCGGTTAGGAACGAGATTTTGAAAAACGGCTGTCACTGGACTCGTTGGATGTTATTTGGCTACTTTTTCATAAAGAAAAGTCATATCATTCCATTTGATTTTTTTGATTGTTTAGGATTTTGGGCCCCCTGGCGGAGAAGGATTCAACTAAATTAACTATATTTTTATATGTTTGATTCTTATTGCCCAAAGAATGCTCTTTTCAACGATACCACATTTGTTAAAATCGGTCAAACCGTTAAGAAGTTAATGCAGGTTATTGCGCCCCATACCATCTTTGTTTTTGAAATAAATTTTTTACGAAAATGATAGATAAACTGGTTCGCTTTAAAAATATGAAAAAAAAATTAGTTTATTATGCGAAAATGCAATTTTAAAATTTAAGATGGCGGTTGCGCCCTCTGGTGGTCATTTTTAGAACTTGAAATGATATTTTCCAGCCATTCTTCATGACCGATTTACACAATAATTTTTTTACCCCCACACGACGAACGGTTCTCGAGATATGACCGAGAAACGGTCTTACTGGGTCACCCGGTACCTCGCCCGGCACGTACAATTCCTCCCCATGAGGATTATCGACGTATCTGCTGCTACGATTGGTGGAAGGTTAAAATTAAAACAGTTGGCACTTAGCAATTGTGCAAAATAGGCCTGCCTTCTTGTACCTACAGCTAGCCCCGCAGTTGGTAATAGAACAACGGCAAAAAATGGTTTATAAAATTCCTCTACAGAACAATGAGGTTGGAAAGGAAGTGACACCTTCACTCTGCACTGCAAGGAACACAGCTCCACTCGCCCCCCAGGAAATTTTACAATCCATTTTTTGCCGTTGTTCAATTACCATCTGCGGGAGTATGTGTGGCTGCAAGAAGGCAGGCATATTTTTCACCATTGACTGTGCCACCAAATCCCAGGAGAAGATGAAGAGGTCGTAGACGATCTTCATGGAGAGGAATTACACGTACCTCTGTATTGAACATTATCTTCATTTCACTTTATTTTAGTTGTAGGTAAAGTCGAACTTTTGAAGCATAAAGTTTTTCCTACGCCCCACCATTTTTGAGATATAGTCTAAAAACCGCAAAACTGTACCTTCAACCCTCTTCCCTTCCGCAGGCGGCACCGAAATCGCTCTGAACTTCAATCACACATAGCCGAAAAAGTTGGAACTACACGAATTATTTTTTCTAATGATTGGACTACTCGATAATCTCTGAGGTCCTCTTCAGAAAAAGACCCGAAAAGGGTTAGAAACAGTTAATTTATATAAAATTTCCTTCCGGGTTATGATTCTAAAAAACAATGGGACTAAGTTTTCTTAAATTATGTCGCAGTGACTAATTTACGAATGTATTAATAGGAAAGTTTTCAACGCCGAGATTCTCTTGTGAAAAGTAACAAATACAGACACATAAAAACGTAAATATTCGTTGGGTTGTTGTTCGCACGAGCTTTGTTGTTTCCATCGAATTCTTACGAAAAATATTTTTTGTCTTGCCCCTTAGGGAAAATCAGGCCAATAATCAAATCGCATGATGATCCTAAAATTGTCCCAATCGCTTGTAAGTAGAAAATAGGTCAACTTATTCCCTGTAAACACGAAGATACTGCTGGCCTCGAATGAAGCCTTTCCTTCTGTGGATTGGAGAGTAAAATTTACCTAAGTTTTTAGATTTATTTGTAATAATTCAGTTGAAACTCTACATTCCACTTCAATTGAAGTGATTTCAAGAAGCGCTTAGGACTTAATTATTGTATGTAAATACCTAGTTGCGAAAATTAGGGATAAATTACATTGAACAGAGGGTTTAGAGATGTCGTCAGTCATTTGTGCAACATAAAGCATTTTTGAGGTTGAACTTAGATTGCTTTCATCTACAGCGGAAACCCTTAACAAAGGTGAATTCGCAAGTTTATTTATAAAAATCTTTGTAAGGGTTAACCGACGACTCGATCAAGCTCACCCATCATAAATCACTAATTGTTAATTGAAAGGGTTATTCCGTGGTCTAGTAGAACCTTGGGGTCTAAAACTCTCTTTAAATAGGTTCAATGAACACTTTATAGGAGGAAGAAATTTTCTAAAAGTACGTAGGATTAAGCGTAAGTTTTATTTTTCTTTTAGTTTTGATCTCAAAAGCAATTAACACTTATTGATAAGGTGGCCTAATACAAATTCATCATGACAAAGTCCGAAGGGAAAACTTCATCACAACAAAATAAGTGAAAGGTTGGAGCCATGTTGGTATTTCAAAGGATTATCTTACTCTCGCTTTGGTACTTGCATAATGTTCCAGTTACTAAACTGATTAATCAATGGAGAATTTTTTAAAGAATAATCGAAATATTTGCCATACGTTCATGCTGATACAATATTGCTTAAATCTATCTTTGTTTATTTACTTATTATACAAAGATTCTATGAATAGAAGGCAGTTATAATACACTTATAATAAACTCGTTCTCAATATTGAAAAAGCAATGTGTATTAATTTTGTTGTTTGTATGTTTTTGAAATGTTACAAGTTCAAGGATACTTTAATCTTTCGTGACACAACTTTACGTGTAATTCCGACAGATAAGCAAATACAAATTCAAAAACACATTTAGGTTAATTCTTACATCTGCAAATACAAAGCAAGAAGTGGAATTTGTTGGAATACTTTATTCACTAGCAACTTTAAGAAAGGTGCTCCTCATCTCCGCATCTATGCAAGTGTATTTTGGAACGAATAGGACTGGGTGACAACTCTACTGTTATTGAGCATAGAATTTACATTAAATTTGTTTTAATGTACTGATTCTTATTTCATTTGATTTGAAAGGTCAAGAAAAAATCCAATTTCCTATGTATGGGTACGTATCGCTCCCAGAAATGCTATGGCAAACAATTTAACAGATAGAGACAAAACTTGATGGTTGTTACTAACATAGCAGTGGCAAATATGTTTACTAAATCCATTTACATGATTAAAGCATGTTTCCCTTTTATTTTTTTATCCACAGTGAGCTAAGAGGATTATCTGCTGGATGCATTATTAAATTAATTAGGATTATTTTACTAGAATGTAAAAATATCCGGCGAAAAAAACTTGCAAAAGCTTGGGCATAATTTTCGTGTTAACTAAATAATAATGAAAGTTAAAAGCCATCCCATTAGGATTGGGACACCCTGCATCTTACACTCTTGTTCTGTTTCCCACGCTATAACAACAAAAAGTAAATAAATTATGTTCATCAATAGCAAGAGTTCCAAAAATGACACTAGAGGTATGACACTAAATACTAAATCTTGCCCACATATCCGCTACACAAATATACAGTAGAAACCTCTACATACTTCAAATGAAGTTGCAAGTAAACTTAAGTAATAACACAAAAAACGGAAAGCGAATGATGTCTGTGCTTTCAGTTATCAGGCGTCGCGCTGAATTAGGGATAACAATAGAGATAAGGTAGGAGTAGCTATATAGAGCAGCATTTAAAGGAGATAGTATCAAAACTATTATAGGTAGTATTTACATTGCTAAAGTAAACAAAGGTCATCGATATTGAGAAAAGGTTCAAGGAGATGTGATGTGAAAAACTGGACCATTCCGACGCGTGATGCGGATAGGCAACACATTACGAACGCCTGGGTTTAACGTTGCATAACGATAGCGTAACGATCTTGTTAAAGTATCGATATTATACTGTGTCTAAGATAAGAATGTCTATCATGGGGATCCCCGACACCATAAAACATACGACGATGGTAAAATTAAAGAACAGATGCAATAAAACTGATGAGGGAGGAAATAGGAGGATTAAGGAAAGAAATGAAGAGAAAGGAAGAGTAATAGAGATAAGGAAAAAAGAAGAAAAGAATATTTATATTTATTTTTTCTTTTTTGCTTTACTTGTATGCTTACTTGTTCTCACCTGGGCTATCATACCATATTAATTATCATAAATTGTTTTAAATACTCCATCATGTTTTTGTACTTTTTTCTGTATCAAGGTTGGGATTAATAGCAGCCTTTGGCTGACACCCCGCCTAAATAAAGCCGTTATTATTATTATTAAGAACTAGATAGGATAACAAAAACTCGAAGAAGGCAAGGAAAGAAAAAAATATAGAACAAAACATAACGATAATTGGAGTAGTGATGGAAAAAGGGAAAGAGAAACAAGTTAGTAATTGCGCAACTAATGTGGAAAAAAGAGGGAGATTATGAAGGAAAATGAAAAGTTAAAGGGAAGCGGAATATACATAGATGATCTTGTAATGATTTATTTTCTCCATTAGGTAGCATTATTATTGTTTACGGTTTACTACTTGTTGAAGAACCTCCGTAACATTTGAAGCGAGTTAATAGATGGCTACTACTATTGATGGAATTTAATCACGCGATTTTTGGGCGCAGAATTGACAAGGCATTTTGCTAAAATTTCCAGTCGTTTTTTTCCGTTAAACAAGTTAGTCGAAAGCGAATGGTTAATTCCCTTAAGGTGGATTAAACTTTTAAATAAGAAGCTGTTCTATCTTTAACGATTCACCTTTAATTGTGGTTTCGAAATTAGGTTTGATTCGATTTGCACTTATTTCGTTATTGAAGATTTCAATGGGATTTTTTACACGTGATCTCCAACATCTGACGGTTCAGCCGACGTAATTTGATAATTGTTTTCATCGTTATTCGTATTAATTGGTTTCTACGTCCTCTCATTAACTTAGAGAGGGTGTTTTTTCCTTCCACCGGTTATTTCCTAGTAAACAATACCAGCCCAGCTCGAGAGTGTTGAAAATACCAGGGTGTTCAGATATCAATTTAATTAGTAGCAATTTTAATGAGCGAAACCATTTGAGAAAGCAAAAAGTACATGTCTCTTTTGCTTTCGGCTACTATTTTCCATTTTCTCGTCGACTTACTGTTATGAATGGAGTTTTAGGAAATACCTGCCTACCCACTTTGAATGTATTTGAAATACACCTCAAGCTGCTCAACATTGACCATATTTACACACTGTATCTGAGATAAGGAGATCCACTGTGGGCATTCTAGAAAGGGTAAAACATACAAGTTTGGATGAATGAGAGGAAAGTTGCGCAATCAAAGGACTGAGAAGATGGTTTAGATATTTCTCAACATTTCTTTGGTTTTTGAAATGATTTAACGGACTATTTTTTTCTGTAGTTAATATTTCACCTAGAGCAAAACTAATGACGCTTAACCACAGCAACTTCATTTTTTTTTAAATACGACCCTGATATTCCTATATCATAACTCATTGTTTTTATTACGAATTCAGTTTAATTAATTTAATTGCGGTTTAGCCTGTTTTTCGGTGTTAATTAATTAACATTCCTATTACGGCCCTGTACACAGATTTTTTGAAAATAAATAATTAACTGGAATAATTAATCAGTTTATTAAGTGCTTCTTAGACAAAAATTTTTTCTGTAATGGTATGTTTTGTTTCATTTGCTTGGAATTCTCGTTGACCTTAATTGGTGGACATCCGTTCGGACATCAAGCCCGAGATCATCGTCATTCTGTACAAAATTAGCTAACCGGTATCTTGATCCAAGAGTCTCTAAGGCACCCCTTTAACAGAAGCAACTTTGCCGCTCCGGAAGGAGAAACTGAAACTGTTTCTATCCAAACTTACAGAAAGTACTCTACAATCAACTGGGAATATGGCTCATCTCCATTACATCCATCTCCATCTCCAAAGTGATTTCGTGTAGCGGCGCAGCGATAATTTCGTTTTTTATATTCGTGTACAGAAAATCAAACAAAAAATTAAATAAAAGATGTCAGAGACACGGTTGCGTCCTCTATGTAAAACAAGGAAGCAACCGTTTTACAATACGATCAATAACGAAATGCTGACTCAGGGTTTTGTAAAACGAAAGTTATTGCGCAAATAACAAGAGGACAGCACAATCAATAACAACTTCGTTTGCAGAACATTTGTGCTGCTCACAGAGGTCGTCAACATAATTATATTTATTTCATATAACTGAAACACTTTACTATTACTTTATAATTTTATAAAAAATTAGACGTGTGTATTTTAATAACAAACAAATTTACCTACGTTTCCGCAACTAACTACATTAGTATAACGTATTACCAAACCTGACATTTATGTGCAGGATTCATTTTCGAATTGGATTTACAATGGAAATCTTTGCTAAAATACTCAGAATTGCTTACTAATCCTAAAACCCGTATATCCGATGGAGGATGGCTGTCAGTCAATATTTCTTGTATCAAGTACTCCTCTCGTTCTTTCACGCACCAAGTGTTTGCCATCGAAATCCAAAACAACTGCTCGGGCGTATACTGCAAACCTGGCAGTTTCGGTTCAACACCCTTGTCCTTAACCCAATTTTGATAAGCCAAATACGCTTTTCGTATTCCACCATTGTCGGCTATGTTTTCACCTTGTGTGTTTATACCGTTGATCTAAAGAATTTGAAGCTCAAATCCACGACCTACCGCGATAACTTTACCTGTTGGTTCGTGATCGGAGAAGTGTAGTTATTAAATTGATCGATAATGCACTGGGCGTGCTTCAAAAATTGGTTCGCGGTATGCTCTTCCCACCAGTCCGATAAGGCGCCGTTCTCGTCGTACTGTCGTCCCATGTCGTCAAACCCGTGAGTGATTTCGTGACCGATCGCAAAACCAATTGACCCAAAGTTTAAGTAGTTCGGCCTTTGGTGGTCGAAAAACACACCTTGCAGTATGCCAGCGGGAAGTTCTAATGATAGCTGTTAGAGGGAAACCATTTTAGGTTCTCACTTACCGATGCCATTTTCGATTGGGTTGTAATAGGCATTTACCACTGTCACGGAACTTTGTTGGGTCCAATCTGTTTTGTTCATTAGCATTCTAAGTTCTTTATATGATTTATCACTAATCACTCTTTCGATGTTTAAGGTTAAGGTTAAGTAATCGTTTGTATCGACATTTAACTGTGTAAGTTACATTATTAGCACGACTAGTAACGGTAATTCACTTACGTTCTCGTAGACCCCATCAATTTTGGCGTCGTCCAAATATTCCTCTGGGTATCCAATTTGTGAACTCATCTTCAACGCTTTCTTGACCGCTTTTTTTCTTGTGGCATCATCCATCCATTTGGACGTTTGGAGCATGTGTAGAAATTCGTCTTTTAGATAATTTACCATAGTTTCTGCGCCCCTTTTCGCTTCATCGCTAAAATATTTCTGCACGTACAAAGAACCGGACGCTATAGGCAACCTGTAATTCATTTTGGGTTTTAAACAGTGTGATTGAGGATTTAGTTACTCTTTAGAAGCCTGCTCCGTACACTCTCTCCATCGAGGATTCATCTGAGAAGTTCCTTTGAAGTGCTGTATATATTTGAGTCTTCTCGACCTCATTTGGGTTGAAGTAAACGGTACCATGGTGTAAACAAACTGTGACATTATATAATTAGCCAAAGTTCTGAAAAGGAAAGAATCTTGAACTGCCACCATTAAAGTGGGGATTTTTACCTTTTGGAGGTAAGTTTCAGCAACCCATCCAAGTCTGTAAGAAAATTGGGTACGCCAATATCAACTTCTTCGGCTAAGGTAATGTTAATACTGGGATCATCGACCATGTTTTCCAAGTATTCGACCCAAGGAATCACTGGGAATCTATCTTGAGCTTCCGCTAACGTCATTATATTAGTTAAGGCGGTAGCATTTCTGCGGTCCTCTGTTGCTAAAGTGATCTGTGCAAGAGGGTTAGAGAATGATCACCAGTTATTATCGTTGTTAACCTTTGTTAATGCAACTTCAAATTTAACAGATTCTTCCATCTCTTTCACGGCTGTGGTTTTGTTGGCGCCAAGCATTACGGCTAAGTCAACGAGGTATTGGTAGTAGTATTGTACAAATTTGTCATCGAAGCCATTTACGAGGTGCCTTCGATCTAAGCTCAGTTTGGCTTGGTCGCACTAAGAATGGAATATTGTAATCGGGATTTCACCACGTAATACTCACATTCATAATATTTTGAGATGTATTATAGGTATTAGTACCAGGGAAGATGTAAACAATGCTAAAGGCTGGCATTCCAGCCTTCCGGAACCGGTACATAGTCTCCTTCCAGTCAAAGTTCTCTGCCATCCAATCATTCTCAAGCACGGGCCAACCACCAAAGCTCGATAGCATACCGGTCATAACGCTCAGTACGTTTTTATCAATAGTGGCTGTATCCATGCACAATGCGTAGTATTTTTTTAAGATCTTGTAAGCGTTTGGTTCGGTTGGGCTTACGGGTTCTTCCAAAACGGCCCGTAATTGCGTTAGCAACTTCTCCTGGGTTATTGTAAAAGGGCTAACTGTCGCATAATCGTCAGGGATGGTCATCCTTGCTACAAAACCTCCGCAAGCAAAATTATAAAAGTCTTCGCATGGATCAACCGAGGCATTCATGTTGTAGATGATAGTCGAAGCACTGTGAATACACGCCGGTGTTAAACACACAGCCTCCTTATTTGTCGTTAGGCACCTAGGAACACCTTTATTACCAATACTCGCCTTTGAACATTTACCTCTCGTGTCTATTCCCTTCATGACCATAGGCAGATTGTGGAACCAGGAATAGTAGGCACAACGCTCGCACCCACCTGTTGTGCCTTCGTAACCTAAACAAAACACTTCAATTTTAGACACACCATCATTTTGGATCCTCACCAGAAAGCTACCATGATGTATATTTGGAGTAAATCGTATTGAAATAGATAAGTATTTTTCAAGTCGCAGTATTTCATTCAATTTTAAAATAGTATATCGCATCGAATGATAACGGCACGTTATTAAGGTCAAAATAGGTTACATTTACTGAACCATAAATTAAAAAAAAATTGATTAATAAAAATGAAATTACAATACCTACATCCTGTCCTACGCCTTTGCGTGAGGGTGTGTCTCGATTCCATCTTGATGGACGCCAAAGTTTCAAATAAGTTCATTTTCAGGAACGTTACAGTGAACGCGCTGCAGGGGTTCCAAGACAAAAAGGTAAAATCCCATTTTGCATGGTAATTTATGCGGAGGTAATTGAAATGTTAGCAAAGCTAATTAAATCGGTATAACAAGACGTCAAGTACATATGCCGAACTTGGCCATGAGATTTGCGCATAATTCACTGTTGCTACATGATAATTATGTTAGTTTTAGGCGGCGGAATGTTTGTGTTACAATTTGATCGAGTACCCAATATTGTTTATTATCCGCTGATGTTCATATCATCACATTGAATGCTTCTTTGCGAAATCAAAACACGTGCTAACTTTTCTTGTTGCGCAATTGGAACGGATCGAAAAAATGGTATAAATCGAAAATGGCATTAAGAGAATCTTGGACCTTTTGAACATGAAATGTCACTTTACACACTCTGTCTCTGTATATTACCAAAACCAAAATTAAGGATGTTTAATATTCAGTATTGTATAACCCGGCACTTTCGCCGGCTAGGAAAGATTCATTTGGCACCTCTTTAACAAAGGAAAATATTTGATAATTTAAGGTTTCAAATATAAAAATCAAATATTGTCGTAGTACGTAGTGATCATCACTTTCATTTGCAACAATACGGCTAGCCACTCCTCAAATTTGCTTAGGTATCGTCACTCAACTCAATTTCAAAGGGCTATAACTTTTGAACTAGTAGCCCAATCTTGGAACTGTTTGAAATTATGGATTCTACAGGTCACGTTCTATAAGAAATTTTTTTCTCCGGGTCGATCTGAGACAATTTTTTTTTCGGGCCTCAAAATAAGGCAGTGTAAAATCTTCCTTTTTTTACCAAAAATTGACTGCACCAAAATTTCTCGGGAAAACACTTTTTCTTATTAATTTTGGGGCGTAGAATCCAAAACAATTCGTACTTTTTCGATCAGACCCCTCAATCAAAAGTTATAGACTAGAAACCAATTTCGAAAGAAAATTCAAAGGGCTGTAACTTTTGAACTAGTAGCCCAATCTTGGAACTGTTTGACATTATGGATTCTACAGGCCACGTTCTACAAGAAAATTTTTTTCCGGGTCGATCTGAGACAATTTTTTTTTCGGGCCTCAAAAAAAGGCAGTGTGTAACCTTCCTTTTTTACCAAAAATTGACTGCACCAAAATTTCTCGGGAAAACACTTTTTCATATTAATTTTGGGGCGTAGAATCCAAAACAATTCGTACTTTTTCGATCAGACCTCTCAATCAAAAGTTATAGACTAGAAACCAATTTTGAAAGAAAATTCAAAGAGTTGTAACTTTTGAACTAGTAGCCCAATCTTGAAACTGTTTGAAATTATGGATTCTACAGGCCACGTTCTATAAGAATATTTTTTCCGGGTCGATCTGGGACAATTTTTTTTCCGGGCCTCAAAAAAAGGCAGTCATAACCTTCCTTTTTTACCAAAAATCGACTGCACCAAAATTTCTCGGGAAAACATTTTTTCTTATTAATTTTGGGGCGTAGAATCCAAAACAATTCGTACTTTTTCTATCAGACCTCTCAATCAAAAGTTATACACTAGAAACCAATTTCGAAAGAAAATTCAAAGGGCTGTAACTTTTGAACTAGTAGCCCAATCATTAATTAAAAGGCAAAAAGAAATAGAGAACTGTCGAAAGGTTTTACGTACACGTAATAAACCTTGATTCTACTTAATTAATCGTGGTTATATTATTATCAGCTCATCAAATAAAGAACAGTTTCGGTGAATCTACGAGTCCTATTAACCCCTTCCCTTTTACAAATGGGTACAGATCGTTTTCTTTGGGAATGTACAATCAAATTAGCTTTCACTGGTCCAGTTTTGAAACTATGAAGGTTACTATCGACTCAGTGCTGATTTTCGAAAATTAGTTGACTTAAAAATTCGAGGTGTTCGTTTAATAATTTATATTGTTCATCTAATAATATTAAGACGCCAAATCTGAGGGTCCCAATGATACTAAACAGAGAACAACCGCGAAAGATTTATCATTTCGGATGTCGACTCGCCAACGGTCTACTTTTTCAGCGGTCCCTCAATTTTCCGGAAGGGCGAGATCCGCATCCATTACCTACGAGAACATTTTCTAATTATGTAGGAAACTAATCGATGGCAAAAGTATCGCGCAAGTGCAATGTAAAAGGTGTTCAAAATGGTTCCATGGGGTCGGCGTCAACTTATTAGAAAATAACATCGCTTGGCTTTGCAACCCATGCGTGATTTTATCCAAAAGAAGAAGCTCCAAAGACATAGATACCCATCATTCCGATAAACCCAAATCGTTCCAAGATACGAGAATCCTTGCTGAGGAACTGAAAATCCACCGTAAAAACATCAGGACCGTCCGCAGGAACCCAAAAGCGGCCCGGGCAGTGGGAGCTAACATATTGGGTGTTTCCTCCCGTTCCAGAAGGCACCTTGGATCGACTCTTCCTGCTGGATACAGAGATACAAAAGGGGATCAACTCTTTCCCAGCCGGTTGTCGGCCCACAATACCTTAAAGACATTACGTCGAAATGTGCCGGTGAAGCTGGACACGGGCACTCTACGCCACTACAAAATTGGGCAATTTTCTCTTGGAAGACAACGTCAAGCCAGAAGTACTCATTTATGGTGCCACTCTAAGTGCTCTAAAAGACGTGGAATTCGTTCAATTGTCATTGGGAACACTTTTTTCCCTTAAAGCCATTTGATAGCACTCCACGCCAGAGGCTTAGGTAGGATGGGACAGGCAGAGCGCGTGCCCTGGGCGCCGCCGTTTGAAAGGAGACAGCTGCATTTCTTCTCTGGGGCTGCCACTTCTTAAGTAGCGTGACAGTTCCGCCAATAACGCCGCTCACACAAACCTTCAGGTCTCCACACACCTCAGAGTTAATACAACCGCCAAAAGTGCATCTGCTTTCTTTTCGAAAGAAAAATCCCCCTTATGTGATGGTTTTATCAGCCTGTTCCTCGTCTAACTCGAGAACGAAAAGAGCAATGTCCGACCTTCGCGAATCAGTTCAGAGATCAGTGCTACTGAATATGAGCCGGAGTAAGAGTCGTCTTTCCGCTGTTTTGATTAGTTTCGAATGGTGCCTAAAAATTCCCCCTATTGAAAATCATATGCAATTCTTTGTATCTTGTTTTATATTAAGGTAATTTACGAAGGGGGCCAATTTTAATGTAGCCCCTCATCCTTCCGCTTAACAGAGCTGGGATAGTATCAATGTTGATCTTATCGAGTCTTCGCAGGTTAAAGTGAAACCGACCTCCTTGCAATAGAATCTCCATTAGGAAGTGCCTGGCTGCAATGCTTTCCATCGTCCCAACTCGGCACCCTCATTGATAGCTAGGAGTTCGAAATTTTGCACTTGAATAAGTGATTTTAGGGTTGATTTTGTCGGTTTTGTTTTTAGATTGCGCATATTTTCACACAAAAGGTAGATATACAGGGTGCTCCAAAAAAGTGGGATAGAAAAAATATCCGTATATTAATGCACTTTCGGATTCCCCAAAAAATTCTTGACATGTTTCATGTAAACCTTATATATCGAAAGCGTATTTTCAAAAATGTTCCTAAAATTAAAAAAAAAACTCAACATTTTACAAGTGTTACAGAAATCATCACCCAATTTCTAATTAATTGAAAATCTCTCAAAGCGGAGGCTTCCATGGTTAGTGACATAAATATGCGACCGACTTCCGGGATAGGACCGAGTCTATATTGAGCGAAAAGTCAACGTTTTGCCCACTTTCGTAATGGGCTTCATCAGGTCAAGAAACCAAAACCTTTTACTCGTTTTGAACATCTTAGCAACACAAACAAAGTCACTCACTAGTTACATTATCGGGAAATCGCATTCCACAAGTACACTCCATATACCATACACTCCTAAATCAATCTGACTTTAATTTAGTAAAGGTTCTCCCGTCGTTTTCATGGAAACAACGTTGTTTTCTGTTCTGACCTTCATTTTACTTTGTGCTCTCCGTTCCATTTTTAATAAGAATGACGCCAGTCATTAGAATACACAATCATTTGTTTCACTTTATCTACCCTTGCCGTTAAAGTGTTACTGTTAAAGGGAGGCCTGACCCAATCATTCAAACTTATATTAAAAGAATATTCCCAACCTTATAATTAGTAAAACGCGAAAGTAACAAAAAGTTCACCTTGAAGTTAAGGGAGCGGTAGGAAAAGTTCGCTAAAAGCAAATTCCAATAAATATGGCGCGGTAACTTGATGCAAAAGCAAAATTGAAATTGTACGGATGAAAAATGAATTTACCCAAAATCATCCTGAAACATTCATTTTCATGCCTGCTTTCTGTCGGGAAATTTTAGTTTCCATGACATAATGACTCCTGTCATCACTGACAGATTGACATTAATCAAAAGTTCTATATATAAATTGAAATTTTATATTAAAATACAAAACTCGTCAGCAAAATGGCATTACTTTGACTCGGAACTTAAAAGTATTTAACCCCCAAGTGCGATAGAACTGAAAGTAATGACTAATTAGAATTTAAGGGAGGTGCTATACTGGGTGTTACATATATGTATGTAAAAAAAAGTTGGGTGTTAGAGGGAATCAAAACAAGCACTTTTTCCAAATAAATCAAGGGTGTTTGATTGGGAGCCAACCGCAAAAAGCGGTGATATTTGCATTATTTTCTTCTTTAATGCTTTTCTCAGTAACCATAAGAGCACAAAGACTTTGAATAGCTTTTCTACGAAATTTGGTATCTGGGGGTTTTTCAACATGAAAATCAAGACGCTGAAATTAGTTTTCGAAAATTCGAAAAATATTCAACTGCAATTCTTGGCCGGGCAATTAAAATTGAGAGAATTCCTCGAAATTTGTGGTGTACATACATAGCGATCAAAAATGGGTGACCGTCTAGTCACCTTTGGAATTTTTGTTTACTGGGAAATCGTAGTTAACTTGAACTTCCAAAGGCGACTAGACAGTCATCCATTTTTGATCGCCTGATACTTTACTTGTAAAGTATTCTATTTGGGAGATTTGTTAGTTAGTCAAAGTCATAGCGTCGTAAATTATGAAAATGAGTCAACATGAGATGGTTTGCCGGAGCCTGAGCACCCCACAGGTCGTCAGCTCAACCACTAAAGCCCGAGATCCACACACATTTCCCTCAAAATAATTGAACAAGTTTTATTTCCCTTAGTTTAACAACATAGATCCAATTCACCATACAACGCACTTTTTACCCTTATTCATAACAGACTTTGTTGAACATTTGAAATCTGCAGCGAATTGGGGTAAGTTACTCAACGACCCGGTAACTCGCAAGCTCGCCGGAGGAAAAGGAAAGAACAGCGCCATTAACGTAAGATACTCATTTCTGTACTTCGTACACCACATGCTCGCGGCAGAGATCCAAAACATCTGGTTCTGGGTGTAATTCAAACCGGGCAGCAACGGCTCGGGCGGACGACTCTTTGCCCAACCTGTATACGCCAAGTACGCTACCTTCAAGCCGGTCACATCGGCAATGTTTTCATCGAGAGTACGCTGACCATTCAACTACCAAAGCTCGTTAGCTACGAATTGCAAAAATACTACTTTACCTTCATATTCACTTCCTTGATAGTGTAATTATTATACTGTCCTACAACACATCGGGTAACATTCTTATAGGCCTCCTTCGTGTGATTCGTCCACCAATCTGACAGCTCCAAGTCCTTGTCGTACTGCCTGCCGTGACTGTCGAAGATGTGAGTAATCAGGTGGCCAATTATTGAACCCACCGCGCCGAAGTTCGAGTAATTGGGCCGATCTTTGCTAAAGAACGGCCCTTGGAATAATCCTTGGGGAACCCCTGAGAGAACAAGAAGGTGATTTCACTCGCCTGTTAGTAAACTTACCCATTTGGTAAACTAATGAAACATCCCACTGCCTGTTTTCCTTTGCAACAGGTTGGCGAATCTTTTTGAAGTGGTTGTTACTTTTAAATAACCAGACATCTAGTACGGATCTCAGGTACTTGTTGGTCGTGAACGTCAGCTAGAATTAGGTGAACATGTTCGTTTTGTTTGGAAATGAGTGCGTACCGTTGAGTAGAAGTTAAGTAGGGTTTTGTCATCCATTTCGTCAGAGTGCGTCGTGTAGTAGGGCATTCCGGCTGACTTTTCGTAGGCGTGCTCCTTCGTTTCGTTGTCCATCCACTTGGATTTCTTTATTAGATTTACAAAGTTGGCACCAATTTTTGTGAACATCGTGTTTATGGTCCTTTTGGCTTGATTGTGGGAGTGTTTCCTCATATACAAGTTTGATAGTGATTCCCAAAAGCTACAAAGGCGTAATGATAGGATCAAAAGTTGCATTTCTGTAGAGTTTACTTAAGTATAGTGTTGGTAACGCATTCTTTCCACAAGGACTTTGATCTCTGTTCTCCATATACTTCTTTATAGAATTCCAACCTTCTATTACGTAACTGGACGTTCAAATATTGTGTGGTAGAGAGCAACACTCGCCACATAATATAATTTGCTTGTACGCTAAAAATGCTAAATTAGGTATCTCTCTAGGTATTATTGCTTTGGCATTTACCGTTTCGACGTTTCCTGTAATAAATCTTCCAAGTCATTGAGATACTTTGGTATTCGTAGAACCACGATGTCGTCGTCGGATACCTGAAAACCAGGTATGTCCAGAATGTATTTGATATATTTTTTCCAATTCGTGTTAGGGTATTCGTTTTGCAATTTCAGTACTGTAATTGGATTGTACATTAGTTTTTCTTCTTGCCGTTGAGACGGAGACCACGAAATCTAAAGACAGGTGCATGCTATAGAGGTATTTCGGGCTTACGTACCTTTGCGAGCTCCATCTCTAATTTCAAGCTTTCTGCCAGCTCTACAAGTGCCTGTGATCGATTGGCACCAAGTATTTCAGCCACATCAACCATATAGTTGTAGTAGCTTTGCACGACCGAATCGTTGAAGCCATTAATTAAATTCCGGCGATTTATTCCAAAGTCGGCTTGGTCTAACTAAAATTAGCCGATCGAAACTCGAATCGTGAAATTGGTTTAATTACACTAATCACTCGTAACGACGAGTTCTGTAAGTCGATGATTACGTCCAACTTTATGAGGTAATTGGCCGAAAATCCAATGTTTCTCAGCGTATACATCGCCTGCTTCCAATCGAACTTAGCATAGTACCACTCGTCCCCTTCAATTACAGGCCATCCGTTTAAACTACTCAAAATGATTTTAATGGTTTTTAAACCATCCGCCTCGATTGCGGTAGTATTCATGCAGGACTTGTAGAAGTTTTTCACCAGTTTAAATGGAAGCAGCTCCTTTGACGTGGACCGCTCTTCCAATAAGTTTCTCAGTTGCAGAAGCACCTGTTTCTGTGCATCTTGAAATGAGCTAACTATATACTCGTCCGCTGGAACTGGAGTATTTTTCATAAAGTTCCCACAGGTAAAGCTGTAAAAATCAGTGCACGGGTCTATCTTTAAATCCATATTGTTGAGAATTTTCGACGCCATTATCACACAGTCGGGTGCCAAACACACGTTGTTTGCAATCGCCGGAATACTGAGTTATTTGTTGTAATAGTGAAAAGGAAAGGAAAATACTCACGTCGGTACAGCTTCTTTTGATTGCGTGTTTAAAGCTACTATCACTATACATAGTATTGTACCTAAAGCTACCAAGGTAAAAACCACACTTTTAATGTGACGTCGCAAATTTTTCCAGCTAACAAAATGAATCAGATTTTCCATTGGAAAATTAATTTTGGGAAATGAATGGAAAGCGTTCATTTTGTTAATGCAACTTGACAAGCTGTGTACGTGTACATTTACTTTAGTTGATTATAACATCTCACCTTAGTGATTATACACGTACGAGCACTTACTTTTATAGCCGACGTACAATTATGCTAATTACGAAATTCAGTCACATCGCAGGTAGCACCAGTAAACTGCGACGCTGGAGGCGATTTAAAATTTTTCAATTATTTGCAATCTAGGTTAAGTTTTCAGGATATGTTTTTCCGTAGAATTCAATTTTGAGATCAAAACTATACCTACTTTCGTTTTCTTCTTGAAAACGCGAAAAACTCCAATTTTGCAACTTAAATTGTTAACTGACTAGATATTCGGACCGGTACCCTCGAAATTTGAATTCAGCGCCCCAAAAAAAGCTTAAAATAAGCGCAATTGTAATGACCCTCTGCAGCGACAGCTAATGAAATGGGTCCGTTAACTTGGCCCCCCCACTGAGAGATTTGATAGTCGTATTATTTTGAAATGAATGCGCTCGTTATGCGCTCATATGCGCCACCGATAATAACTCTTGCGCCATTATCGTTTTTTAGAAATCCGAAAAAACATTTGGGGGGGCCAAGTGAACGTAGCCCCCCCAGTACGCATTTTGTCCCTTGTAACTAGGTCACCTGATACATTTGGTTATGCGCTCAATTGCGCCACTTGAATTAAAGCTAGCGCCATTACGGTTAAGCCGTGACAAATTTTCAAAAAGTGGGGGGCCAACTTAACGTTTTTAAAAGTTACTTTTTTTTAACATCTTTTCATACGAAATTGTACTCTCAGGTATGCGCTGAAATGCGCCGTAAAAAGATATCTTTGCGCCATTATTGTTTTTTGGATATCCTTAAATATATTTGGGGGGGCCAAGTGAACGGAATCCCCCATAACGCATTTTGCTACCGGTATTTGTGCCACTTGATACATCTGGTTATGAGCTCAATTGCGCCACTTGAATTAAAGCTAGCGCCATTACGGTTAAGCCATAAAAAAATTTTAAAAAGTGGGGGGGCTAACTTAACGTTTTCAAAAGTTACGTTTTTTAACATGTTTTTTCTACTACATCGTACCTTTCATCATGCGCTAAAATGCGCCGTAAACAAAATCTTGGCGCCATTATAGTGTTTCAGAAACACTATACAGGGTGTTTTTTTGGGAGCTTTAGTTAAACGATTCTGGGAAAGTAAGATAGGTAGGTTTTTAAAAATTTGTATTTAGGAGTTACTCCGAAGGCCGAATGTAAAATATTTTCAAAACGGACGCATTTCCGGAAATAACTTTTGAAAACGCTAAGTTAGACCCTCCACTTTTTAAAATTTTTTTATGGCTTAACCGTAATGGCGCTAGCTTTAATTCATGTGGCGCAATTGAGCTCATAACCAGTTGTATCAAGTGGCACAAATACCGGTAGCAAAATGCGTTATGGGGGATTCCGTTCACTTGGCCCCCCCCAAATATATTTAACGATATCCAAAAAACAATAATGGCGCAAAGATATCTGTTTACGGCGCATTTCAGCACATACCTGAGAGTACAATTTCGTATGAAAAGATGTTAAAAAAAAGTAACTTTTAAAAACGTTAAGTTGGCCCCCCCACTTTTTGAAAATTTGTCACGGCTTAACCGTAATGGCGCTAGCTTTAATTCAAGTGGCGCAATTGAGCGCATAACCAAATGTATCAGGTGACCTAGTTACAAGGGACAAAATACGTACTGGGAGGGGGCTACGTTCACTTGGCCCCCCCAAATGTTTTTTCGGATTTCTAAAAAACGATAATGGCGCAAGAGTTATTATCGGTGGCGCATATGAGCGCATAACGAGCGCATTCATTTCAAAATAATACGACTATCAAATCTCTCAGTGGGGGGGCCAAGTTAACGGAGCCTGAAATACGGGACTTGGATAGTATGTAATACCCCTCAACATATAAGGGATCTTAAAAAATTACATAAAACGTCATGGATTTTTAGGGTAAAGACCATCAATGTTAGACTTAAAGAACAAACGCGCTAATTTGGCAAAAAAAACTTTCCACATCGCGTTGTGACTTCTTAGTACACTCATAATGAGATTGCGACATTTGCAATCATTCAGTCCTATCACAGTTTTATTAGTCGCTAAGAATTTTTAAATTTAAATTAATTAAATAATAAAATAAAATAAAATAATAAAATTAGTTTAATTCTTAATTAATCAAAATTTTTAAATGCGTTGTCATACAAACCTTGAACAGGTTTTAAAATCCTTTCAAAAACGGTTAGGTATTTAAGGGGTGTCAGCAAGTGTTTTCTATCCATAAGAAATGACTTCCACAACATTTTAGTAATTTTTATAGCATTTAACGTGCCTTTTAAATAATGATGGTAAGCGCCCGTAAGGGTTTTCAGCAGCTTTCCCTTTAAGAGCATTAAATATAAATGACCTTTAGGGCATTTTACGAGCTATCAGAGGCTGTAAGTGTATTGAGAGGCCTCTAATAGCCTTTTAGAGGGGCAAACTAAGAGCTTACAATGTCTTAATTAAAGGCTTTTAAAGGAATTGAGAACCTTTAAGGGCCGGTTCGATTACGATAGATCAACGATGGATAATTTTTCAAATTTAACCAATCACACGTTTTCATTCAATCATATTGAAGTGGCACAATCGGGTGTCTTCTAGAGCCTTTATTAAGGACCTCTAAATCGCTTTGAGAGTGGTTGGTAACGGGCTTAAACACTGCATTGAAGAAATTTGAACCTCTACGTTAGTAACAATTAATTTTTAATATACCCATGGACAGCTCAGTAATAAAAATGTGTTTAATACCCCTTACATTGCGGAAGTTTGGCCCCTTATCACTTCTTAAAATCTGATATTCAAAATCTAATGCACTTGAACTTAGTTGAAAGTACAACAAAGGCGACCAAAGTTATTTAATTTAAATTATCGGTTTATTGCTTATAAAATCAAGTACAAAAAATGCAATACCCGTTTCGTGAATACGTGTCAATGCTAAATTGGATCCTTATCTAAAATTCATCTTTACCACATAATAAATAACTGGTATATTGTGCTCAAAATTCAGGAACCGTCCTAATGCCGAACAAATTTTAATCAATCACCGAAATTAAATGCAATTCTACAATCAATGAAAGATAATAACAAAAAAACTTTTACTTGGGTTCGATTCTTAGCAATAAAACCAATACAAAATCTGTTTCATGCAGTTTTCACGAGTCGATTCCTTTAGGAATATTACAATTATGCAAATTCCTTAAAATAAATACGCATATAAATATAAATCGTATATCAATTAGAAATAATAAACTCATAATATTCCTACAAGAATACAGCCACATCCGGCGGACATTTTAGTTATTTATGCATCAAGGGCATTAAGGCGATATTTATGCCGAGGGCGACAGAGCCCGAGGGCCTCCGGCCCGAGGGATTGTAAGTCGCCCGAGGGTTAAATATTGAGTAATGCCTGAGGTGCATACAATATTTTATTTTTCATCATTCCAAAGAATGCATTTCCAATATACAAATGTCATGATTATTGTTTGCCCAACATTAAAGTGCTCCATACGAATCAAGTTGCATCTTTTTTATGACATAATATAACTCCGTCAATCAATTTGACAGGCCGTTTGAGGGCATAATGAGATGACAATCCATTATGCCCTCTCATTATGCCCTTGGGCGTAATAGACTGCTTCATATATCACATATGACAGATATAATTGGCATATAATAGGCAAATGAAAAATAAAATAATTTAATAAACGCTTTTTATACGGAACTGTGTTGCTAGGGTTGTTTATCGCAATAAGTTTTCGTGTCTGTAATTTCATCCCGTTTTTTATTTGAAAAACCGTTCTTTGATTCGAAAATCTTCCCTCGCGTAAATTTTATCACTCGTAAATAAATGGCTAAAAGCCATTACAGTATTTATACTAAATTGTATACCTATTACACAGAAAGTTGGAACCACTCTTCTCAACTTCAAGACAAGGGCTTGAACTTCATTGGAGTCAATTGCGTCACTTTTAGGCAGGGATTTTCAATGAGCTTTTGTTCTTTAATTGTTTTTTTGACGTCTAGATAGTGGGCGTAAGGATAAGATTGCAGGGTTTTTAATAATCTTAACCATTTATGAGGTAAAGCTACATTCGAAAGTGCTGATTCCTCTGTTCTCTGAATAGATTAACATCCGTTTGGGATTCTTGGTGCAAGGGATAATAACCAATTCAAAAATTTAGACATCCCCATAATATTGAAGATAATCCGCGATTTGTGGGCGTGAATAATTTACTCGGAGAGTATTTAGAGTTGAGAAAAGAGATAGATGGAATCCCTCAGCCAGCGAAGTGAGATCGTCCTTCAGTTCCAAACAATATAGTTGAACGGCAGCTCGAGAGAAGTTCAGTTCATTACGCGTTAACGAAAAAACTGTCGGATTCGTGGCTATACGCGAGATATATATATATTTAAATGGTTTAATGTGGCGAAATTGTCACTAAAACTGTTGATATTTTCAACAAAAAATTTATTTTCAACGGTCTCATTGCGAGAGACGTCTTTGTATCAACTTTTTGTGTATGTGCCTACTAAGGATTTTCTTCAATTATACTAAACAGTAACAAAGTTTATAAAACGGAATGTACCCAGATTAACCGGTTGAAATAAATTTCCATTTAATAGCAGAAAACACCGAAATCGAGCCATTGCAGTCAAGGAAAAATTCACTTTGAAATTATAGAAGAATTATTTACAGGCGATTTTACCAAATGCATGTTTCTTAAAAAAATCTGGTATCATCTGCAACATCCGTAATATAGGTAACATCTGTAACATGGTAAGGTATTCAAATCTCAAAAAGGGGTCTGTAACATCTTTTAAGAACGTGAATATTTTGATGTGTGGCCTTTAAAAATTCTCTACAGCGTGGTATCTACTTCAATGGTTTCATTCATAAAAAAAATATACAAATTTAAAGAGACTTAAAAATTCAGAAAATTCTGAAAATTCAAAAAATGCTGAAAAATGATTGTCAATGGACGATAGTATGGCATCTATCATTTTCAGTGGAGAAGCCTTGACCCTTAATAACAGAAAAGTATCAGCAAAATTCAGTTGCTTTTCATTGAGATGACGCACTGACAGCACTAAAAGTTCAACATCTTGTTAAAGAAGAACCTACTTTTACTTTTTCTACTTCAGTGATAAAAAATTACATTCGTACTTAAGTTGTGATCTTAAATCGTAATAGAGAGATTACAAACTAGTATGTGACTATAATATTAATAGACGTCAATTCACCATATCTTGCACCTATTGGCAGGATACATAGTGCTACCTATCGGACAACGAAAATCTCTCGCAAAAAATTCGTTGTTAGCAAATGAATTTAAAATTTGAAAGTACGCCGGAGTGAACGGTGCGACGTATCCTTCATCTCTAATAAACTCCTGCGTGTATTTAGTGCACTGGGTTTGGGCCGCCGATATCCAGAACAGTTGTAGTGGCGAGAAAAAGTTCAAGCTGGGTATTTGGTATTCGTGACCGAAACGTTCCACCCACACGTGGTAGGCTAAGTATGCCGCTTTAAGCCCGGCGCCATCCGCTACGTTACATTCGCGTGCTTCTTCGTCCGACTGCTGCAAGAATACTCTTATCACCGGCAGGCATTTTTGGTACATACCAAGGATTGAAGTTCGGGAGATGTCTGGCTAAATTTATGGCTTCGACTGATACAGTGGATTTTCTGTTTGTACGCCCTTTTCGTGTGTTCCGTCCACCATTCGACTACTTTACCGTTTTTATCAAAATGTCGGGCTGTGCTGTCGATGCTGTGGGCTATTTCGTGCCCGATTAGATAGCCCAAAGATCCGTAGTTCAAGCACTGCGGTTTGTCGGCGCCAAAGAAGTTTCCCTGCAGTATTCCACTGGGGATATCTACAAGTTGACTCTTAGTATTCGTGTTAGCAGTCCCCGCATACTTAGAATGTTGCGATTTGCCTCATAGAATGGATGAACCACATTTGTGTATAAATCCTCTTCGCGATTATCTTGAGGTTGTGCCCAACGAAGTCTTTGGAAGTATTTATCCCTTTCGAAAAGGTTTAGGGTTAGAATGCAGGCCAAGTAATTTTCTCGGGGGAATTCTAGCTAAAACAAATCGTTTAGATTAACACGCTTACGCGCTATGGTTAACCTCGGCATAATACTGTTCGAGGCGCTTCACTGACAGAAATTCATCAGAGTACGCAGTGTGAACGGTGAGCGAATCGGCTTTGTCTAACGCGTTCATTTTGGTAACATCATCCATCCAGTCGACTAATTTTATCATTTCCATGAATTGACTTCGTATACTGGCAACCATTTCATATATGACTTCCTTTGTGTCTTCGTCAACGTATCTTTGAACGTACAACACTCCCACCGCAAACGGAATTCTGCAACACCTCCTTCAGGAATTGCTTTAAGCGAGCAAACTCACCCCTTCGTGACCACGTTGACGCACTCTTTCCACCTAGGCATACGATCGGTGATGCCAAACGCTTCTTGGAAGTAATCGAACCTTCTGTTCCGAAGTGACTCAGTCAGGAACTGTACGGAAGACTTCACAGCCCTCCACATCATGTAGTTTGCTAAAACCCTAACCTTGTATGTGAAACCCAATCGCATCTAGTATTAGAAAGAATACCGCTTGGAGGTCCATTGTAGGAGATTCTCTAGTTCCGTGAGGTAAAAAGGCGAACGTATAATTACTTGATCATCCAACAAGACAGTGTAATCAACCGCGTCTACCACCCCGTTGATGTACTCGATCCAGTTAAAGCTCGGGTACCTCCGCTGCAATTCTGCTATACTAATCGTTTGGTGTAGTCCAGGCTCGGCTCCCAAAATGTTTGAAATCTGCAATAATCTGTGCTATAGCTTAGTGGGTTATTACACAACCACCTTTGCAAGTGCGATTTCAAACTCAAAAGTCGATCTCAGTTCACTGCCCGCGAAAGTCAAATTTGCGCCAAACTGCAAGGAGACATCCACCATATACGAAAAATATGCACCAGCTTTTTCATCGTCAGGGCCTCGAAGTAACAGCTGTTCTTCCGCTCCTAATTGGGCTCGATCGATCTGGAAGTCTTACTTAACGGTGGTTTTCCGTGTTGGAAGTGCTTACAATAAAAATGTTTCTGGAGGCATTCGTCTGGTCGGCAACGATTTCGATTGTCAAAAAGCTGTTAACGTCGTAACCTGCACGCCGAAATTTGTAGATGGAATCTTTCCAATCGAAGTACTGCTCATTCCAACTTTCTTGGTCCAAAACTGGCCAACCCCCTAAACTTTGTAGAAGGTTTTGAATCAGCTGGAGACTATGCGTTTCGGCGGAGGTAGTGTCCATGCATATGTCGTACAGTCTTTTTAGTAGGCTGAAAGGTTTTTCGTGTCTACGTTTGAGAGGTTCCTCTATGACTGCCCTTAGCTGTTCTTGGAGCTCTTGATTTGCGATGGTGAATGGATCCACGTAAGAGTCTCCACCCGAAACACTGGTTTGGTTTAGAAAACCACCACATGCGAAGTGGTAGAAATCGTCGCAGGGATCCACGGAGCGATCCATGTTCTTTAGTATCATTGAAGCAGCGTGAATACATCCAGGTGCCAAACACACGGAATCGGTTTCTCTTAGAACGGTTGGCCGTTCTTGGAAGAAGTCCATTTCACCCTCGTACGAGTAACTGAAACGGGAGCTTCAAACATTGGATCATAATCGGTGATACTTACGGATAGAACTCAGTGTCCTGCTGTAATAGCAAAATTATTGTAATACCCAGGACTAAGGCGACAGCAAGAATAAACAACACTATCGATACCACCATAATTCTTCTCTCCAAATTTGTGCGCCTGTCCCACCATTGCGGATTCCTATAGTCACTGTAAACCTTTGAAAAGCCACGTTACACATACTGCAACACTTACTTGATTACAACGTGATTTGCGCCATCGTAATCCATTTCGACCGATCTGTTACCTATTGCCTAGGTTTGACAGTCATACCGAACGAGCGGACACAAGTGGAATAAATTAGCAAAAATTCGCAAAACAGGAATTCGCAATTAACGTGCATATTTTTAAATTTGTATAATTGTCGAGCGACAAGACAAACGCAAACTCGTCCCACATTATTTGGGCTATTTTAAATGGGAGCAGCGTTGCAATGGACCCGCAATTTGTTTAAGTAATTGCTGGTGAAGGTGAAAAGTGTTTACCATATCGCGTATTTAACGCGTAGGTTAATTACTGTGCTTGACCGTTGCGTAACGGTAACAGCCTGCCAATTAGTGTCTCCGAGTCTTAAACTACCTTTTGAATTTTTTCAAAGTATACTACAAACTTAAAAAAATAGAAATCTTAGTTAATTACAACCAAGGAACAAAGATTTAATTCGTGTGTGAATTTTTAGTCAAATACTATGCGGTCAATAGGTACAACAACGATTTCTCGAAGTTTTTGACTTCCGCACGCGACCTTTTTGCACATTTGGCACGTTTCGGAGAAAGTTTTGGCGAATAACATATTCAGATATTCCTTAAACTTTGGGGTTTCTTGCAACTGGGGTTTTAATTTCCTCAAGATCTGCGTGCCTATTATATATTGTACGAGACATCCCAGCCTTTAATGGCCAATAAGTGTATACCTCTATTTAAAAAATGTAAAATCATTTCAAAAGCTCACTTACTTGATTACAACACCTGATCAAGTGAAACTGATCCACTATTCTCCAATGGGCCACAATTATTACAGTCACTAGCTACTAAGAATTTATAAATTATGCAAGCAGAATTTCATAACTGTCGTCAATGAACATTGCCGTGGGTGTCCCCTTCTTACGTACACTTTTCTTAAATTAAACACAGCAAGAAAAATTAGCTGGCTAGTTCCAGGGCAGTAAAATAAACCTGTCGAAAGAGGGCGAAAAGACCACTTCAAATTAATACAATGAAATATGGACAACACTTTTAGACCATGGGCCCCAAGAGTGACCCCCCCTCCCCCGCGTGAGAATTTCCTACACCCATCAAATTTGGTTGCTCTTACCATCTAGTTTAAAGTTTCAGTTATTTGCTTATTGTCCATTAGAGCATAACCCAGCAAAACTCCGCAGAAGTCAAGACGACTTAGATTTATGGCATTATTTTGTAACGTGCTTCTCCCAACAAATAATATTCCGATATAAAAGTTATTTATTTATATGAAATGTATATTTACCCAAAATCGTCCTGAAACCGTCATTTTCATGCCTACTTTCTGTCAGGAAATTTAAGTTTTCATGAGAGGCAGAGCAGATTACGTTTCCTGCCGCTCGTCACTTTACTGGCCGCACCTGTCACTTTACCGGCCGCACCGTCACTTTACCGGCCGCATTTGTGTCATTTCCAAATGTCTATAATGAGTCCTGTCATCATTGACAGATTGACATTAATCAAAAGTTCTATATAAAAATTGAAATTTTATATTAAAATACGACTTCGGGTAAAATTTAATACAAAACTCGTCAGTAAATTGTCATTACCTGACTCGGAAATTAAAGTACTCGGCCCCAAAGGGCCCTCGCACTTCAATATTTCCTCGCCAGTAATGTATCATTTTCTTGACTTTTATGTAAATAACTATTACGGGCCTTAGCAAAAGGCGTTAGGCCCGGTTGTATAATGTCAGTTTAAACTTCAGTTTACAGTTGAATTGTTGGTTAAAGGATTTGATTGGCTAATATTTCACAAGTTGGCCAGTCGTATTTCTCAAATCTGTCGGTTAAACCAAACTGAAGTTTAACCTGACATTGTACAACCGGGCCTTAGTTGTTTACAGCTTATCATCTACAACTTATTACGGTGGAATTATTTTGTAACTAATTTTTCTTGGCTTCTACTATTCCAAAATTATTTTTCGTAAGAAAGTACATTTCTGAACAGTATTTTGTATTTATATTTTCCCTCATTTTCAATTCAAGTCTTCCGTAATTGGTACTCCATACAAATCTTTGGAAATTAGGAGACTTTAATGAAATGAAATAATAAGGTAATGCTTTAGAAGAGAATTTGTCTATAAGAATTCGATAACCAGACACATATGTCTTCAAGTTGTTATTAAGGTACGCCAATGAAATTCTAAGGGATACAAACACTGGTAAGACAAAGCTGGAAGTTCAGGAATGGACGACTTCCATTTGTTTGGATTAAAGGTGATCAGTTTCCACAAGAACTAACTGTTGTTATAGAAAGCACCGGTCCAGACAATGAGTTGAAAGATGAAGATGATCCAGAACTAGTTAAATTGCATTTAACATTCATATTTACAAATAATGAATGTCATAATTTAGCCCATTGAGATTTGTATCGTTAACTAACACCTTAGTGTTTTCTCAGAAAATCTCAAAAAATATGTAAAAACCTGTGATAATCTGTGATATTATGCGAGGCATTGGAATTTTGAATGAAATGTGATATTCTGTGATATTAGTATGTATGTATGTTGCTTAGTTCTTGTTCGTCGTACTTGTCTATATCTGTGTAAAAACTCTTCAAAGAAAAGTAATAAAAATGGGTGATAGGCAAATGGCCTCAGCAGCCGAAGCCTTAGGTGGGGTTTTAGTGGGTATTCCCAGCAAATGGGAGAGCCCCACACTACTCTGGAACTTCTTTCTAGAGTGTGCATAAGGAGCATTTCCCCACCTATACAAAAAAACAAAAAAATACAAAAAAAAATTGTCATAACGGAAAAGAATGAACCTAACTACATAGTTCATATGAAAAAAGAACGTTGACGTAGGTCAAAAAGGTGATGTAAAAATTGTGCTCTTCTTTGTATTTTTAGCGCATTTCCACAAAAATAAAAAAAAATGCGCTATTGTGGCCACTTTGTCCGTCCGTCCGTCCGTCCGTCCGTCCGCTAACTTTGCGACGCTACTAGTTTTTTATCTTAAGAACTATTGTTCTACTTTTTTCGCTATTTGGTTCGTTATGGTGTCGAGTCTTGTACCAAGGAAGGAATTTTTTCTGTACCGTTTACAAAAAAAGTTATTGTAAAAAAACAAAAAACCGTTTTTTCATGTTCCATAATTTTACACTTTTGCCGTTTATTAACGATCCTAGAGATCGTTTATAATTTTGCATTGCTATCTGTCGTCTGCATGCTGATCTGTCCGTCTGTTCTTTTGTCTGTCTGTCCATCTATCTGTCCGTGTGAACAATAACTTTGTTTAGAAATGTTCGATCGCTTTTACATCTCCGTTAGTTATGAACTGAATTGCATGAAATTCAATATGGGCATAGCTTTAGCCATATAATACGCAATGCCAAAAGTTCAATCGAATCGATTCAAAATTCACAGTGCCCTTTTCGCATCTCGACCATTTATAAGCCGAATTGCAAACTTTTTTACTTATAAAAGTATTTGAATGAAATTTGATACATAGGCACTTGGAATAAAGGAAAATCAAACGCCAATTTCAAAATTTGGTTTTGCGCATGCGCAGTGCCAACTTTTTTATTTATGGAAGAATTTAAACGAAATTTGATACATAAGCACTTGAATAAAGGAAAATCAAACGCCAATTTCAAAATTTGGTTTTGCGCATGCGCAGTGCCAACTTTTTTATTTATGGAAGAATTTAAATGAAATGTGATACATAGGCACTTGGAATAAAGGAAAATCTAGCGCTAGTTTCAAAATTTTATTTTGCGAATGCGCAGTGCCAACTTTTTTATCTATGGAACTATTTAAGTGAAATTTGATACTTAGGCGCTTGGAACAAAGGAAAATCTAACATTAGTTTTAAAATTTAGGTTTGCGCATGCGCAGTTCCAACTTTCTTGTTTAGAAAAGCATTGAAATGAAATTCTTCGCATAAACTGAAATTGAAGTAGCACGTCAACAATGGATTGCCCATGTGCAACGCTATCTTTCATATTTGTGGGCGGATTTTTACGATTTTAACAGAAGTTGCATCTTACAAATGGGAAATGAATGCAAGTGGAAATGCGCTTTATGTAAATCGTTTACGATTACTTTTTAACTTGTTAGAATTTTCCGAGTATTGCTGTCAATGATAATTGGAAAACAACTTAAATCTAATATTAGATGGTAAGAGCTACAAGGAAATTCGCAAGGGGGGCAGCGGGGCTGCAGGCACGCCTTTACTCTGTTTTATGTACACATTAATATTATACAAAAACTGGTCATGGCAATTGCAACTTTTTAGTATAAATTCTGGAATTGGCTCCAAACATTAGATCAGAGTATTTTATTTATACGCGCAATTAAAAATCATGTTTAATTCGTTGGATGTTGTTTTAAATCTTTCGAATTCCAAACACCCTTATTGTTACCAACTAAATCTCCTAATCCATGTATAAGGAGACAATTTTGAAACAATTTTGGGCCCAACATACTTTGGGGATAATTTGGCATTGTAATAATATCTTATAGCACTAGAATGATAAAGCAAAATATCTTTTGTATACTAAAATGTATCATGTTTGTGCTAAGATTATAATAATATTTACTTCTTTCTTAAGTCCTGTTGACCTAATCCGATAATCATGATGCGGTAGGTAATTTAAATGTTAAGACAAATTTAGAAAAGTAATCGGCAATAACTAATATGTAAGAAAATCCATTTCGTGTACGGAGAGATGGGCTTGTTTTGCACGACCTTTTTTTGATTACAAATTGAGCATTTAGCTATATACTCGTAATTAGTTATATCTTTTCCAAGTTTATGCCGAGAATATTTTTGCGAAGTTTTTGCAGCCGTTTTTGATGCTGCTAAATGACCGCTTAATTCATTATCATGATTGTGTTTTATGATTACTAACCGATTTTCTTTTGGTACAACCTCTTCCAATAATCCCTAACCGTAGCTAATTCTGCAAATTTCTGTTTATCACCGTTTGAATAGGTTGAACCGCTCTTTATGCCATGCTTGATACTTATTAGGTTTCTCGTCCAAGGATTTTAATAATTTTTCAGTAGTTGTTGAATTTTCTTCAGATTTACTCAACGTTGTACCTACATAGCAAATAATGTTCTCTCCCTCCAATTCCATAATTCGAAGCATCACATTGTAAGGTAAACGGATATTCAAAGTTTGCACATGTCACAAGATTGGTGCTGTAACTAAACTATTTTTCAGATGCTGAAATGCTTTTTTTTACAATTGGCGCCCCAAACAAATGTTGTGTTCTTTTTTAATAAATTATAAAGGGGAGTAGAGATCATTGAAAATTTCGAGAAACATTTTTTATACCATACGCGATGTCGTCAATGACTTATTTAGTTTCCTATAATCTGCGACGAACCTGTAATTATTTTTTTTTCTTTATTGACTATAATAATATCGGGTATGCTCATCCAGTGTTAGACGGTTCAACAATGTTTTCTAACAATAAATTTAGTTCCGCCTGTTTTTGCATAACAGCAACGCCGGATAATATTTTTGTTTTACCGGGGGAAATGAAGTTTTCATTTCATGTTGAATTAAATTTGTTTTACCTATGTTTGAATTCCAGTACCTATGTAAACCATGTCTCAATAGACATATAAGATCATAAAACCGTTACATCAAAATTATGGTTTGATTGATTTATATTGCTGCTAATTTCTTCGCCAAAAGTCCAAGAGTTACTATTAAAATTTGGCCCATTTTTTTAGACCAAGTCAAAATAGCCTGTAGCATCAAAATTTAATAAAGATACCTAAACTTGCGTACTTTTAACTATAATAATTGTTCATCTTTCCTACATTTTAACAGTCTTCTTAGACATTCTCTTATGAGGTTTCGACTATCAGCCAACATAGCTTACACGTTTTCCGAATGAGCAAGGTACCCATTTCTTTGAAGTATGGGATCGACAATGTTTTACATTTCTAGTGGTAAGAATCTAGATTTTTGAATTATTCCAAAAAAAATGCTTGCTGCCATATCTACAAGAATGTTTACTTTTAATGTTCAACTATGAAGCAGCATACACTTTTATAACATATTCCGTTACAATTTTTAGATTAAATGATGGATTGTCGGTTGAAACATGTAATCTTGAAATCGGATTGGCAGTGGTAAGCCATGACTTAATTTCTCTGATCCCCTCTGCGACAAATTTAAGCAAATGTTTCTAGTAGAAATTGCAGTGCAGCTTTCATACAGATACTGTTGATCCCTAGGTTGATCCCTATCCAGGGTGTTTTTTCACACCTTCTGAATGGGCATTTTTCACAGTTTTCCAAAATTTTCCAAATTCGGTGCAGTATCATTTAGGCGCAATAGTTTTGCCATCCAAATGTTGTATTAAATGACCCAACGTTCCTTTGCGTGTAACGAGCAAACAAACCATGGTATTGATCGTCCAAGAGAAACTTCAATTTTTCTAAGTACTCCACTTTTGACGCCCAGTGTTTTGTTCTAAGAATTCTAAAATACTTCTTTTAATACTTGTCGAATTACCGGAACTTGGAAACCAATCAAAAATTTGTTCGTAATTAGTATGAAAAAGACAGATTACATAAGTGTCTTTACAATGTACAACGTGGATTAGAAAATTTCAAAAACTCTTATCTTCAAGCAGCTATTGTGAGCGACCATATTGCTAAGCGGACTACGTAATTAATTGATCGTAACAGTTTTTTCTCTATTTGTTAATTCTTGATGATGCCCGAAATTAAATGACCCAAAAACCATCCAATGAAGATAGTTAATATTGAAATCTATATACAAAAAACCCTAAACAATTAAACTGAGCATTTGTAAACTTACTGAAAAAACCCATACCTTTGATTCAAATGGTTATAATAATGTCCATGATTTGCAAAGATTCCACGCTTAAATCCCAAAAATTTGGATTTATAAAATAATTAATCCAGATCCCCCAGTTCACAACTTCGGAGAGATCAACAGCAATTATGCGTCTATTTGTATGATTAAGTATTCTTGGAAAGAAAAATTTAAAACTGCCAGCTTTTACGATAATTTTCGTAGTAATAAAGCACGTTACCGAAATTTATTAGAGCGGACATAATCGTTAATGATCGTTCAAAACCGTAACGTTTGAAATAACACCCTTAAAATGAGATTTCAGTAGGGAATGCGCCCTGTTTCTTAATCAAGCAAATTTTGCCTTAGAATTTGGATGAGTTCTCCAATTACGATTCTGATAACATGTGTCAGACATGTCTCATTTAACGCTGAGAGTTCAGATCAAAACAATTTGAACAAAACATTAGAATGAGCTTCTTGCATACAGTGATTTTTTTTTTAAGACTGACCATAGGATTTTACATGTTAATTTTCAACCTCTATTGGCTTTTATTTTTGTGAAAATTACAAAGCGATTACAAACATTTTCGTTTGTAATTCAGTGCAGTTCCAATTCTGGAAGTTGATGATATGGGCATAGGGTCGAAGGGGGAAAAGTGATTTGTGCGTTTTCCGACAGCTGAAGGGATGAATAGAGATCATGGCAAAATGGCTGCTATGTATGGTAACAATAGTTTCAGCTACATTATCGTTAAAATGGGATCGGAGGGCCTCGAGCTGTCTTTGTACGACAATGAGCGCCCTGAACAATCCAATGTGAAGATTCCGAAGGAGTACGTTATCCGCGTGGATGAGGCCAACAGACACATCACCCTGGTTAATATGTCGCCGTGCGATTTCACGTTTTTGGACTCATGAAGAAGCTTTTAAAAGAGCACCGTTCCATGTTGGATGCAAAGGCGCAGGACAAGGTCTGTGATTGGACTGCCTCGCGCGCGAGGTAATTTTAATTCAGTAGACCGAACTAATTTCTGTCTCATGTTTTGTGTCTCAATTTAATAATTGGTTAAATAAATAATCTTCCTCCGCTTGTTGGTCTACATATACCAATATTCTAACGCCCTTATCATGATTTGGAGTGACATATTAGTCAAAATAAAATCTACAAAGGACCCTGAAGACTTCGTAGTGTAATAAAAAGAGAATGTCACTAAGTGGTAACTTTTACAACAAAACTGACTTTCGTTTTGTATTATTTGACCTAATTTATAATTATGTTGACATATTAAATATATGATAATAGACGATAATACGATAATAATTCAAAGAAAAACTAAACAAATTTTGTTAAAATAAACATAAAAAATTATGAAACTGAATTTTCTATTTGAAGTTTCTGACATAGTACCGTAATAATTTTCGGTTTTTGTATGACAATCGCAACACCTTTTTAGTTCATATTATTTGGAAATGTCTTCGAGATCCAGAGATTCCTATTTAGTGGAAAATTCCCCTAGGACAGTATCAGCGTTCTTTGGTATGTGCAGTTTCTTTGCAGGAAATGGAAAAGATTAAATAGTTTTAAACCCACGTTTCAGTAATCTCAGCATGTAATCGAGTCAATGCTATTAAAGGAGAAGTTCGCCTTTGCGATGTTGATGAACTTTCTTAAATATACGCACTGTTTTGAAAAGTTTATGGCGATTATATTAGACGGCTATTTTATCCTTTTAATACTGCAATTTTCTATATTAATTCATTTATACTACAACTTCCTTTTACTTTATAACCTGGGTGCACGTTGAGACACAAGCCACACTCACACACTCTTTGTATTCTATTGACAAATAATGCGCCCACACATATTGACGCAATGTACGATAACATACGAACCATATATGACGTCACACAAATTTTTTAGTAATTTCAACAGAACACAAGGCGTGTGTTATGTAACGAGCGCCGCGTGTGTGAATGTGCGCAGCCTATTATTCTAAATTACAAAAAAATTTGATTTTCCGTAATTGAAGTTTTTGTAGGAAATATTTTCCGATACGAAAAACCGATGCGCTGCGAAGAATTACCGTGCACTGAAATACATACGATTGACGGATACAATTTTTTTTGCGGGTATCCACCAACACAAATAGATACTTCCTCAGTGATTAACAATGTTTATTCTTCGTCGTAACCTTAACATGCTATTTAGTCAAACAATCGATTTTTTAAAAATTACGCTTGACATACGGCACGGGGCTTATTTCTCTTCGGAATCGGGACTTCGCGTACGCAAATAGGAAGCCATTTTGTATGTGGCAGTAAATCAAAAAGGGAAGTAGGGATCATTATGGGGAGATTTGGCAGGTATTCGGTCTTGGGCTACGCGATAGTTGAGAGCGTGGTCCAAAATATTAGTTTATTTGGATCACTAAACGCAAGAGTAATTCGTTTATGGGCTGTGGAAGCATTAACAGTACAACACAGAGTGAAAATTTTTGGTTTTACGCGTTGAACGTCGAAAAAAAGAGATAATAATGCGCGATTTTTTCCAAAAACGAAATTTATGAGTAATTGCTAGCATATAAAAGGAAAATATTCTGCCAAAATTAGGAGACGCGCAGGGAATTAATTCAAATTTTATGGGGAAGGATTTAACACAAACTACATTTAGTATCAAAAATGTATTATTTACCATACCTTACATTTATGAGCAGGATTCATATTGGATCCCAAGGGACAATTAAAATCTTTAGCAAAATATTCAGAGTTTTTAAAGGGAATAAGCACTCTGATCCTGTCAGGTGAATGTACACCTGTAGTTACCTGCATTTTAAGGAATTCCTTTGTTTCTACGGAACACCACGAGTGTGCTGCCGACACCCAAAACATCTGATTAGGAGTGTACGGCAACCCGGGGAGTTTCTTCTCGGGACCATTACGCTCGACCCAACTCATGTATGCCAAGTATGCCTCAATCACCCCTCCGCAATCTGCTATATTTTCCCCTTGTGTATTCACCCCGTTTAACTACAATGAATGTGATATAACGTTTGATCTTTGCTAGCAATCGATTACGTTTTGATCTAGCACGGAATAATTAGCATATTGATCAATAATGCACTGGGCCTTCTTCAGAAACGCCTCTTGCGTCGATGCACCCCACCAGCCATTCAGATTTCCGTCCTTGTCGTACTGACGACCCTCATCGTCGAAACCATGCGTAATTTCGTGACCGATTACATAACCTATCCCTCCGTAATTTAAATAGTTCGGTCGACTATCGCTGAAGAAAATACCCTGTAAGATACCAGCGGGAAATTCTGCAAAGTATAATTGTGCGTCACAAATTATTTCAAATATTCAATGCATACGGATACTATTTTCGCTAGCCGAGTAAAATGCGTTGACCACTGCTGCTCTCGCGTGATCAATCCAAAGAGTCTTATTGACAGGCTCTCTTAACTGTTTCAAACGGTATTCCAGAAAGAAGAGTCCTATCGCTTTTCCTGTCAGCAGATAGTTATCAGAGGAGTCGTCTAACTAAAAGGGAGATTAGATTGTGTCGGTTATCCCGTTATGCACTACCATCATATAAAACTTGTCTATTTTCTTGGTATCGAGTAGCTCGTCAGGATATCCAATGTGAGTAGTAATTGAGTCTGCTTTAGCCAGAGCATTCTCCCGCGTAACATCATCCATCCAATCTACGCTTTTTAAGATCTTCTTAAACTCGACTAAAATGTCGGACACCATTTCCTCCGCGTGCATCTTAGACTTTTCCGCGAAGTATTTTTTAACGTACAAAGCTGAAGATATTAAATAAACGCTGAAATTTAAGAATGAAGTGGTGACTTCAATCGAGATACAACCTTCCAGATGCAAAAGCAGTACATTCCTTCCATCTTTGCGGCCTTTCTAACTGCCCGCTAAGCACTTTATGGTATTCAGTCATGCGATCTCTTAATTGGGCCGTCAAGAAGTGGGTTGAAGGAAGTACAATTTTCGACATCATGTAATTTGACAGAACTCTGTAACTTTGGTCTTAGTCTGTAAGCTAGTGGTTTGGTACTCACCGTTTGGGAGTTTTGCCAAGTAAATTTTCTAACTCAGGAAAGTATTTAGGAACGGTTACAATAATGGGTTCATCGTATGGAATTTCAATTCCTGGGACGTCAAAGACGTTTTGAAGGTACTCCATCCAGTTCAGAAAGGGGAAATCATGCTGCAGTTCTTCTACTGTCATGATATTGTAGAGTGCAGTTGCATTTCTACGTTTTTCTCGAGGAAGGCAGATCTAAAAACTTACGGTATTATCAAACATTAGAGTGCAGATATACATTTGCCAATTTTATTTGAAATTCTACCACTTCCTTTATTTCTCGAACAGCTGACGCCCTATCCGCGCCGAATATTACGGCGATGTCCACCAATACCTCATAGTACGCTTTCACTATTTTGTCTTCCAAACCTTTGACGAGATACTCCCTACTTAAACCCAAGCTCGCTTCATCAATCTTTGAATGTGAGGACTGTCAAATTGTGCATAATTCAAATCGATACTTACAGTAATAGCATTCTTTGACGAATTTTTGTCGTCGCTTGTGACGTAGAACGAAAGAAACGCACTGGTGCTAAAACCAAACTTCCTAAATTTATACGTGGACAGCTTCCAATCAAACGCACCTTCATTCCAAAGTGGCCCTTCCAACACTGGCCAGCCTCCTAAATCTTTCAAAGCTCTTTTGATCGTTTTCAGACCGTCTTGCTCTATTGCAGTGGTGTTCATGCATATATCGTAGAATTTCTTTAGCAGTTTGAACGGTCTCGAGGCATTTGCTTCAACTTCCGATGTAATGATCAATTGCAATTGACTTCTGACCACTTCGCTTAGTTGCGAGAATGTGCTAACGGAGAACTTGTCCGCCGGTATTATAGTTTCTTTGATGAAATGTCCACAGGCGAACTCGTAGAAGTCGTCGCATGGGTCTTGAGTGGTGTCCATGTAGGACATCGCTGTTGCTGCCGCCGCGATGCAGCCCGGTGTTAAACATACGTCACTAAAACAGAAACCTGACGTGCTTATTTTGCGGAAAGATCAAAGCATACATGTTTCAAGAAATGTGGTTTAAAAAATTAACCTTTTGTCACACGGAACATACAAATCTCCTATGTTCAATGTCAGTATGAGTGACAGTCATGCAACCCCCCTTACACACAAGTTTGACAGAAGTGTAAACCAAAGAAACTTAGTTATTTTAGGTAGGTACGTATTCATATTTGTTTAGCAGATACCAATCCCACGGCGAGATAAAAAGAAATAGGGATCTCCAAGCACGCAAAAATACACATGGATACAGTAAAGAAAATTAAGAGATTTGGGGAAATTACACATCAAACTGACTATTACATATACAAAGTCGAAACTAAAAGTATTAGACAGCTCCAACTGCTTTGCAATTGTGAACTTGAAGAATTCTAGAACAGGGTTATAGAGCACAAACTTTCCTGGAAAATTAGCGTCTCAAATTATATTCCAATTTTAAGCTGGGGTTTCTACAAAACGTAACGGTAGCTCTAAATTTGCATTTAAATTTTTTCGAAATTTCGTTGCGAAGTTAGAAATGTTTGAACTTCTAAGTATAGAACAACATAAGCATTTCATATCATAGGAATTCACGGAGTTTTACTTATATTTTTGGTGTTTATATATAAAGTCTCTTTTAAATACTTTCATAAATCAAAATGTTTGCTACTCGGAATAGAAACAAAGGTATGGTTTCGTCGGTTACCGACGCACAAATAACTTTTGTTTCTATTATTTCGTCATTTAAATTTGATTATCAGAATTTGTTCATTTGGGGCACCGTTTAGACTAATTTCTAATATAAAATTAATTATTATTGATTTACAGGAATATTTTCTTGCAGTTAGGAATAGGTTTTTGTTCGATTTAGAGAGGTTTTAAGGATTCATTCTTTTTGTCTAATTTTTTAACCGGGTTCAGTATTCATATGTAATGCGCTTTTTGGAATTAGAGTGGTCCTACAGAGGAAGTAAAAAAGTTTTAGATCTCAGTATGGAAGTTGTATAAACATATTAGAGTAGCAAATCTCGAGTTAGTATTTTTTTCAGTGAGAAAGAACTTGATTGAATTCTGTCCCTTTTGTAACTCATTTTTACCTGAGCTAGGTAGCAAGTAGATGTACGAAAGGTAGGTCCCCAAGCGTGCTACAAAACAAGAAGATAAAGAAAACAACGTTATAATATGACGCTCCGAGGTGAGGCCTTAAAATTGTAACTACCAATAGAATATACCGCCAGAATGTGGGTGCGGGAAAACCCGAATCCGGACCCGGACCCGGACTTCGTGGGTAAAAGCCGGACCCGGACCCGAACTAAGCCACGGTCAGGGATCACTTTTATGGATTTTTTGTAGTGATCCTTTACAGTTTTATTATTTTCCGACCGATAGTCCGTGTGAGCAATACTCTTTTTAACAGCGGCCGCAGAAAATGCAATATTTCGGAGAATTTCTCTAAGGAGAAGAGATCTTGTATTATATAGCATACATTTTGAAAGTATGCCAGGCGGCCTTTAACTGTTTATGTGTAAAGAATCCCCTCTCCATTAATCATCTACCAAGAAACATCGATAAATATAACATAACGTCAACTGTTCTCTAACAATTTGCCAATGCAAGGGAGGGTTCATTCAAAAATCTTAAACTAATAGCTCAATAACTACCCGATATGGGCATACAGAATGTTAATAAAAGTGGCCCTAAAATTTACCTCTACATTCATTTCTGGCGTCAGAAATAGTAGTTGCAACTTGTAATTTGAAAAACTGAAGTTTTGCCATTTTTTGATTGGTAACTGAAACATCGCAGCAGCTCTGGAAACTTTTTCAAGACTTTCGGCGGCCACTCAAAAAATTCCTTACACTTTAAGGATTTCACTATTAAATAGGACGATCACTTATGTTAAACGGTGAATGGACTCATGCATCTTCAAATTTTTCGAGAAAAATTGACATGTCAAAAACTATGACAGATAGGTAGTGTACCTACTTAAATTTTAATTGCGTTCAATTCAGAATAAACTAACGCCTTTAGAACAAAATAGAAAATGCTATGTTTCTATTTAAAAAAACCAAGATGGCAACCACTTCCGGTATTTATGGCAGGAGCGTCAGAATAAACTATAACGCATTTAGAAGAAAATAGAAAATGCTATGTTTCTATTAAAAAACACAAAGATGGCACCACTTCTGGTATTTATGGAAGGACCGCCATCTTGAAATTATTTTATATTTCAATTCGCAATGGTCGGTTATGGCTGTAAACCAAATTTCAAACTTAATCCGGGTCCGGGTACGGGGTTACTAACTAAGCCCTGTCTGAGTCCGGGTCCGGCTTTTACCCACCCGGGTCCGAATCCGGGTCCCGGTTTTACCAACCAAGTCCGAGTCCGGGTCCGGGTACGGATTTTACCCACACCCCCCAGAATGTGGATTTACAGTGAGGTACCATTACAAAAGTTAGTTTAGACGACCTTAGAAACCGCCCGAGAAAGTCTGTTGGTAAATTTAAACTCATTTGCCTATAGGAAGTTTACTAAAGATCATTTCACAAGTCTTCTTTAAAGTTCACCTAGCCAATTTTAATAGATATTTTCGTGTGAACTTCATAACAACATTTTTAGGAGGTCTTGTCGAAATTCGGGATAAAACACTTCATATGCAAACAAAGTAAACGTACAGGAAATGTCAAGTTATTGATTGATGATTATACGTTTCGGAATCAAATAGAAAAATGAAATTGCATAGAAGAAAAATTTAAAACCATCCCCTAAATTTGATCAAGCAGACGTAATTACAACAACCATACAGTTAGCATAAATGATAGATTATCACATTGTATTTTCCATAAAAGTAAAGAATCATTTTTGCACGGTCACGATGGTAGGTACTTACTCTGCATCGCTTTTCATTTTGCAGACAACCACCCCAAGCGCTATAGCCAAAGCCACGGCCACCACACATACTATGGCCGTCAATAGGATCAAATGACGTTCGGAATTGCTTTTCCTTTCCAACCATTCGATTCTAAAAAAAAATAAAGAGAAAAAGTTAAATTTCAGAAATTGTATCATGGAACAAAGTTAGTTATGATTCAAGCACGTTTCCGCCAATTGTAGGATTGTGTACGAAACGACAAATTAACCGAATTAATAACTCTAGAACTTAATTACGTGGGATGTTATTGTAGCAGTTAATGTATGAAAAACGGGAAGTTCTAGAGATTATAGTCGGTGGTTGTAAATTAGTATAGCCGAAGATGTTCTTAGAACGACTATAATTGTTGATTTCCTTTGATTATGGAAATATACTTTTGTTACGCAATAGGTAGTTATTACTGATGTACATATACCTATAATTACTATACGATACGATATTATTGGAACTTGATCTTCATATTTATAAATTTATAAGAAAAATGCATTGCAAAGAAAGTTACCCGGCTGAGTATTTGTGCTCAGGCTGACATAAAGCAGGTCTTTGAAATGAAATTCCTCCAATAAATAGCTAATATTGACCATCACCGGAATGAAAATAATTGCTAACTAAAAATTTAAAAAAAAATCAATTTTGTAAATTACCTGAGCGGCGATTTTTTACTAGGGCTCATGGCTGGGCACCACAAATTTAATTAACTAATTGACGCAGACCTTTAGAGCACATTCCGTACGTAACCCGACAAGTTCACATGTAAAATAACATACATAGCGGGAATACTACAAAACAGTTGTAATTCCAGAAATAATGATTTTTATTAGTTTAATGAAGCGTGGGGAAATAATGGCGTTAGTCAATTTTGTTAATTTTTTTAAACTCCATCAAGGTCTACGCGCACGTAACCACCGCCGTTGTCTAAACGAGGTGAGGCATTTGAACACAATAAATTAATGGAATTGAAATACATTAATTGAATATGGCCAATGATTGATGTGCATACTAAGCAGATACAGTCCTATTCATTCGGGTTACAGGATGTTTTGACTGTGTAGAATAGTCACAATAGCACAATCCCGCTGATTAAAATAATGACAGAATCATGGTTAATCAATACTTCTGAATAATCACATATTTTTTTAATTTTCTACAAAATAATCATTGATTTACGGTCCGTGAAGTTGGAAGTACCACATGAAGATATTCAAGCCAACGACACGCTATAATTTCGTGCTCATTTTGTAGCAATTTTTGCCGTATATAGCAAACTTTGTGCTCAAGCCGTAGCGGAGATATTCAAAAGTTTCGATTGGTATCTCCAACTTCACGCTGGAGTCGAATTCAAAATATTAGAATCCCATTATTTTGTGCTCATTTTGAGCCATTTCTTGCCGTATAATGCAAATTTTCTGCACAATCGGTAACGGAGATATCCCAAATGTTCATTATCAAACGTCGTTAAAAGACTAAGTTACCTACAGCCTACGGTTATTTTTAAGAATTTGCATATTGATTTTAGTGAAATTTGATATTCCTGAAGAAATGGACATATGAGAACCGTTTGTATAAAGAGATTCTGTATATTTCAGTCATTGATAGTGGTCAGATCAAAACAAAGGATTTTGGTTATTTTTGGTTCAGTTATTGGGAATTTTATTTGCATTTAATTTCAGTAATACTATTCCTTTGGTTGGATTAAACGGAACACGGAATACGATCGTATTTGTGTTTATTAATATATTCGATAAGATGCCAAACTTGGGCAAGGTAAGGAGTATAAAAACATTTTTATTACAGACATAACCGTGAGTCAATTAAAAAGTAACTGTTATATTGGGATTTCCGCCAGTACCGTGGAGATTTAATTTTATTTTATGCAAGTGGGGTCTTGAATCTCTGTAAATGTAAGTAGCCTGTTACACGCCAGACAACTGTTTGCTAAAGCCAAGGATAGAAAAACTGAGTTTGTTGTAGCAACTTTTTGTAATTAAATGATTTTATTTTTTTTGTGTAAACTGATCGCGGCGAATAGAAGAACGAAAATCTTCTCAAAAACCAACCCCCTCTTAATTACTGAGCAAAATTTTGGACACCCACAATGGCGGATTACCTTTAAAATGGTCGTGTCTAATTTCTCATTGGTTAGTGCCTTTCTTACTACCAATCCTAGATGACCTTAAGGTCGTGAATCTATTCCAACAATAACGCGATCAGCGTTTCTCGAGTTAGTGGTTTTATCTCATGATGAGCACACTAATGTGATACTATATCCCTATTAAAACCGATGTAAACGAAGCCCTATCTCAGGCGCCCGGGCGAGTCTGACGATTGGAGCCAATTAAAAAAAAACAATGACGCTTTGATAATGACCACAGTCATTACGAACAATATTTGTCAGGGAAGACACAGCAGAACCTGATGCCATTATCGCAGTAGCTCACAAGTTGTGACCTTGTGGGCTGTACTGGAGATTCAAATACGAATATTATATTCTACATGAGAAACATGTGTACACTATACAATTAAAAACTTACTCACACCTTATTACCTGTGTAAATAATAAACCCTTGAACAAGACTTTAATTATCTACCAACAGCCATAAAATTGAATCACATTGGCGTGTTTTACAGCCATAAAATATGTCACATCAACGTACATAGCTTTATTACCATCATAAAAGTTGGAAAGCAGTTTTTTGTCATAATAGCACATAAAGTGGTTTGCAAAACATTTTACGAGTGTATGGGAAACCAATTAACGTGCTAATGTATGAAGACACAAATAAAAAAACATCAACCGTATTTTGAGACCATGGTACTTTTACCCTTTGCTCCACCAGAGGTGTACAAACTGCACCTTTTTTGCGTTCTGTGTTTCATTTTTTTATAAGTCAAAATTTTGCGTGAGTGGACAGATTGGCAGAGTTTCGAAAAAATGCAGAATCATTCAATATTCAATATTTTAGCGCACTGTTCAGGGGCACTCCCTGAAAATTAAAAGAAACTGCTATTATTTCAAAGCGACAATTTAACCACTTTCAGTATGCTCCAATAATAATCCGTATGGCGGAAGTTAATGTCAGTTTGAATGAAGTCGAGATAAACAAAAAAACTTCATTGCCCCATTACATAACTAAGCGTAATCGTACGAAGATTCGAGTCAACTTTATGGTTGTATTTATCGGTATTTTGCCAAGGAATTCCGATTTTATCATTTTTATACGGTCCAGCTGTAAGGCGCCACCTCTTCAAGGAAGGGCTGTGCCCTAGAGAAGCCACTGATTCTAGAAAACGCTTTAATTAAGGTGACGTAATCTTTTTGTTTGTATAAAAAGTTGTGATTGGTTCTTTCGAAGAAATTGCGAATTTTTTATTTAAAGTACTCAGGATATTATTAAAGGAATCGATCGGTGTAAGTTGACCGCGCACGAAACCAGTCTGTATATTATTAGTTAATAATTATTATTTATTTATTTATTTATTTATTTATTTATTTATTTATTTATTTATTTATTTATTTATTTATTTATTTATTTATTTACGGTTGCCCATTATATAACAAAGAGAAAAAAACCACATTAATACATATAAGAAAAATGAAACGTGGAGAGCAGTGCGTAAGTGAGTCAAACAACTATGAGATATATAACTTACAATAGTTATAAAAGATAGAAATAATATATGAAGGATTACGTATTGGAAAAACTAAATAAACTAAATAACTACATAAAACTAACGCAAACGATATACAAGGTGGAAATATAAAACTAAATATTGTTACTCTAAGACATATCTATTATTTGAACATATCTCAAGGAATTGTGGCTGTTTTCATTTTTTAGGCATCGTATATTCATTTAAAATGAGGTTATTTCTTTAAATAAGTTCCTTTTCTTGTTGGCCATAAGGTGTATTTTTGTATAAAGGTTGCCATTTTTTAAAATTGTTATTAATGTTTAAATAGCAGCAAACTATATAGTTCGTCAGGTCGTCAGGTTTTGAAAAAAAAGCACACATCCGTAAGGTAAAGCCGTTTGAATTTGTTTTGGGACTGGCCGAAGGTTAAATAATTTATTTTAGAAAAAAATTATAACAAATTATTACAAAAGGTACTGAATACCGAAATAAGGCATGTTTTTAAGTAAGCTTCGTTTCAAAATTTCTCGTCTGCAGAGTCACGAATGGTGTCACATTTCTACATCACTGTAGGCAAGTGACAGCCGCTATGTACCCATTCAATAGTGTCAAGGGTTGTTTACAACATGTGTTTAAAATGCTCCCTCCGATCGAGGTGCCTCCAACCATAAAGTACGCGGTGTGATACGTTTTCTTAATAATATAAATCACACAAACCCTTATTTATACCACTCCTAGATTTCGCAATAATCGCGTAGACAACTCTCCTGCCCCCTCGATCCGTTAATTATCCGAGAGTATACAAAAAATAAACACACGAGATCATTCTAGAGTCTGCGACCCCATCCTTGAGCTAATGCGCTTAATAAAATAAACGAAACAGCTGCTCTACACTTTTGCTTAACGATAAAAGCGAAAAGTCTGAAATTTTTTCTCCCAAATCAAAACAGAACCCTTTGCGACTGGTAAAAGACCCTGTAACGGTAGTTCAAAAATTTGGAATTCATTTTTTCGAATTGTATAGTGATAGGTAAATTTCAAGAAAAAAAACTGTAAACATTTGGGGAATTGAAGATTGTCCTTTCTGCGTCTTTTAATTTCCTGTAGAGCGTTGTTTTCATAATGGGTTCCGGATGTCTGGAGACGAGATGTCGCTGTAACTAGAGATAAAGTAGATGTCTTAATCTAAAAGTAAAATTTTATTTCAAGAAGGGATGCTCAACCCCTTTATCGGCAAAAAGCCTGATGCAACCCGAACCGTACCCCTATTATCAATTATTATACCAACTAATTTCTATTCAGCATCGCATTATCTATATCTCCAGCACCTCGTACTGCAACCACCCTCAAGTACAGAAAATCGCGGTACTCTAGAATAATTTCTATGCGTTTTTAACATTTTTTCGCCAAGACAATCTTTTTTTCGTCTTTACCATTGGCCCGTTGTGTTCCTGTTTACAATCAGCTTTCAAGAAAAGGTACAGTTTATTGAAATCTATTTGGACCATGGTGGAGTCAAAACATTGTCATAAACCATACGTTTTCTGTAGAGATAAACCAGTACATCGCATTTAATAATCGATTTGTACTATACTGAGTAAAGAACTGATCATGACCTTGATTGAGGGTATCCTCTGTGCGTGTTATGTTAGTACATAGGTACCCACTATATACCAGAGTATTTTTTTGCAATTAAAAATTCAAAATGAGGACCATACGACACAAAGAAACGTAATTGATCCGCAGCTGTAGGTTTCAGAACACAATGTAATTACGAGCAATTTTCTTTTTCTGAATTAGTGGGAAATTTTTTTATTTAAACGGCTGATTTACCATCTACTGTGAAAATATGTAAGGAGTACTGAATTTTTCCTATGCTAAGGAAAAATTAGAAACTAATTGAAATGTGTTTTTAATTAATACCTCAATTTCTTAGAAAATTATAGCTGGAATTTTGTTGTCTAATGGTTATTTAAACTATATGACACATAATCATTCTTCCAAATATTTAACATCAGTATCTGTTCCATTCGAACAAAGTGTACAGATTGTCTTTTACTGTAAACTAAACTACGAAAACAAGTGCATAAATAGTGCACTGATCCTAAGGTAAGTAAAACTTTTGCTCTTTCTTCCAAGACCACCTAATTACTGTCCAAACTGAACAGTTCTCGAGAGAATCGCCAAACCACAGTTGCTGATTTGAAATAAAAATGCAGTGTTGCCGTTTATTGGCAGGAGAGCTTCAAACGCTTTCGGAAGATAATTTAAATGAAGCATCAGAAAGGGCGAAGCACGACATTCATCTTATACATGAATGGCATCGGAAACAACCGCATTTAAATTTTCCCATTGGTGGGTAACCCAATACTTGCTCTTAGACTGTAAAATTTTCGCCTTTCTAGATGACCAACTGATTTTGTCCTTCTTGCGATGCACCAAGTTCAGCATTGAACGCACTAAACAGAAAATTGACAACTATTATACTATGAGGACACTTGTGCCAGAGATTTTATGTAACCGTGATCCATTTTCTGCAGAAATACAAGCCGTTTTGAGCGCCGGGTATACGTCAACGGCTTTCTGCACACATTAATCGTGGTTTACTTACAGCGTAGTACTTCCCCTGCCCAATCGCGATGAAGATGGTTGTAAAATAATTCTATGTAACTATCGATCCAACCTCAACGCCAATACGATGCATTGCAGCATTATTGTCAAGGTGATTTGTATGGTTTTGGATATTCTGTTGCGAGAGGACGACGATGTGGTTGTCAATGGCTTAAAGACTTGGGCGGAATGTAAAGGTTGCCCTTCTGAATTTTCCAAACAGGTCACACCTTCTTTTTTAAAGAAGGCAACGTGCGTTACAGAGAACGGATTTCCCTTTAGGGTTCAAGGAATATATACAAAAAATTGCCCCGCGTTGTTGGAGTTTATATACAATATTGTGAAGGTGTTTTTCTCAAAGAAACTTACCAACCGAGTACGTATTTGTTTTACCGACAGGTCTAGAAAGCTACTAACCTTTTCAGACTTTTCTATATAGTGAGTATAACCTTCACCAATTCTATACGAAGATCCCACAAATTTCATTACCTGAGGAGTTTGGTGGTCAAAATGGATCAGTAAAGGAACTAACCAGTACGTAACAACACCGGTTAATATATTAAAAAAGGAATCATTTTCTCATATTTTAGGCATATGGAAAAAAAAAGTTGAAAGCTACCGAGATTTCTTTATTGAAGAAGAGCAGCGAAAGTCCAACGAAAAATTGCGACAATGTCAGCAAATTTTAGATTCTGACGTCTTTGGAGTAGAAGGATCTTTTAGAAAGTTAGACATTGACTAACGTAGATACATACACTTCCTGTATTTAGCTCTAGTTATGTATATAGGTATCCAAAGGAAACTGCTTCGACAAAGGCTCATTCAAACATTTTTTAATTTTAGTTTTCTTTACATGCATTCCAACTACCTCAAGGGGGTGCATCTATAGATAGGTAGTGACGACAATCTGCCTGGGTCTTTTGTCCAACAGGAAAATCATTGAATCATTAATGATTTGACTACAATTCCTGATCTGAGGACGTAATATTAAAATGATTTCGTATCCATTATTTCGAAAATCCTCTGATAGCGAATTTCTAGCATACGACTCAAGAATATGTTCTATTATAAGAGGGAACCTAAAAGCCTACGTAGAGCCAATGATTCGATTTGTCTATATGTTGTGATAAAAGAAATCTTCTAACAAAAAAGTAAAAATGTAGAGCAAAAATGTCGTTCCCATTGAGGAAATAATGTAACTAAATAATATAACGACATAATAATATAGTAATAATACATAATCGCAATCGCAATTCCTTGTAAGTTTTTGAGTTCAAATTGCGATCACGCAAATTCCAGCGGGTGGTTTCAAGAGAAATTCAAAAATCGTCCGCGCAAATTTTGTAAATCGCGGAACAATAGTAAAGCGTCTGTGGGTCTGAAGTGGAGCAGGGGCCCTAGTTAAACTCGTGTACAAAATTGCGCAAATAACCAGTCGAAAGCGAAATACGTAACGCAGTTTCAATGTTAACGAAATTCCGATAAAGACGTTTTGCTTTAGTGCAGGCGTAAACATATTCAACTGTTATCATCGCAAGCGATATATTAACTCAGTTGTTACACTGCGCGCGTTCAATAAACTAATCTCCGTCAGTTTACGTTGAAAAATCTCCAATATGAAGCGAAGAAATTAGCGATGTTTTGTGTAGTTCGGAATTTGACTTTTTTATAACAGCAATAATAACAACTCAATTTATGTTTTCCAGAATTGTGTAAACTAATAAAATGTGTATGAACCCTCTCTCTTTAGTATCGGCACAAAGGCCCAATATAGTAAAGTTGATTGGGCTAAATTTTCTCTGGCGCTGGATATTCCGGTGCAGGCAGAATTTCTTTGAACGCGAATAACTCGAGGGAAAATTTAGCTTGAGATGAGTTTGCTTTTGGAGTTAAGTTTCCTTGCGCGCGATTTCCATGGGAGCGAAATCTCGGAGAAGGAATTCCAGCAACGATCTTTCCGGAGAAGAATATTCTGGATACAGATTCTGTGCTTTTGCACTTGCTCTAATATTCAACATTATTTGTGAGATCGTTGCGTTGCGAAGCAATAATGTTGTTTTGGTAGCACCATTTCCACTTGACCTTATGTCTATAATAAAAAAACTGCGTTAACGAGCGAACATTCTTAATCTATGCATTTACACGTAGTATTATCTCAAATTACCTAAAACAATAAAGATTTCTCACGCTTTAACAGCGAATTGTATGCAAATGGAGAATGAAAACCCTTATCATAGCACCGCAACCCGGACCACATTCTACTTTCCCCTGTGCACGGCAAAACGATGGACGCAAGTGAAATAAATAACATGAAGTGTTGCAAGGAAACAGATCTAAATGAAGATCCTAAAATCATTGGGAATGATTTGCAGATGATTCGCGATTGGTTAAGGAAACAACCACATCTAAAAGTTCGAGAGGGTAAGTCTTCCTAAACCACCCAAAAGCTTAGCTATCAAAATATTTCAGATGATGCATCCCTTTTAATCTTTTTGAGAAGCTCGAAATACAGCATTCAACGTGCCAAAGAAAAACTCGACAATTACTACTCAATGGTCACGCTGCTTCCAGAGTTTTTTGCCAACCGCGATCCTTTCGCTCCTGATATACAAGAACTATTACGCGTGGGGTAAGTTACAAAGAGTCCCCTAGAGGTACTATTTATTAGGTATTATTAAAGTACCATGGTTCCATTGCCAAACACAATTGGTGATTGTGGACCTAGAATTATTCTCTTTGCATTCGATTATGATGCTGATCTCGTACCGTACACAACGTTGATAAAAGCATGCCTCATGCTTTTGGATATACTAATGGTTGAAGACCTCAACACTGTTGTATCCGGTGTTTATCTGTTGTCAGATCCGGCGAAATGCGCTCTTAATTATATCTTACAGTTTACTCCGTCTTACATATCGAAGCACGTCTACTGCATGGAAACTGGGTACCCTTTGAGACTCAAAGGTATACAGGTCGAGAATTGCCCGGCGGCCATGGAAGCTGCGGTGAGATTTCTTAGAAATTACTTAAATGGGAAAATTAGTAAACGGGTACGTCTGACTTACAAAATTGTTGGTAAATGTAGTTTCCACTCCCATTTTCAGTTGCACGTCTATAGCGCGGACAGTAACCCAAACGGTTTGAAGAAGGAAATTCCGCTGGAACTAATGCCCATAGAATACGGTGGAAAGAATGGTTCAATGAAGGAACTGGGAGGTGGGTAATCAATTTCAAGTGCAGCAATAAACGTATTTTCTAGTCATATGGAAAAAGAAAATGGAGTCCTACAGCGAGTGGTTTCGAGATGGTACTAAATATAAGACAAACGAAAGTCTCCGAACTGGCATGCCCAAGACTACAGATAATGAACTTGGGATCGATGGATCATTCAGGAAATTAGTTATTGATTAACTTGAATTAACTTGAATTAATATTACTTAAGTAATTAATATATCACTTGCACTGTTCATGTAAACCTTATATAATGTTGAGCGCAAAGCCCGATCATTGGTCGTTTTTTCCCAATCTTAGGAAACTTTCAATTTTTTTCAGATTTTTTATAAATTAAATTTTTGCCAGGGCCCCTTTTAAGTCGGAGCCCGTCCTAATTGTGTACATTTGAGACATTGTAGTTACGCCACTGGTTGACCATAGGTTTATAGACATAAAGGATAGTTCCAGAAACAAAGTTAACACTAAAAACTGTCGCTGTTAAACACTCTCAGTGAAAGCAAGGTTTTGTGAAATGTAATTGTAAAAATAATTGCGCAACCAGAACATGCAATTGTTTAAAGAAAGAAGTGAGATGCAACTCAGAATGCCACTCATCATCAAATTGCAGAAATAAATAATTAATTAACAATACGACTATTTGTTTTCTTTAGTTCTATATATTCATATAATTATATATGTATGTTTTGACATAAAAGTTTATGCTGTTATGTTTGTTACTTATTTCATTTATTTTTATTTTATATACCCATGCTATGTATCATGTTTATACATACGTAAAAATTAATTGTCCGTTTTATGGTGATCTCTCCATACAAATCATTTATTGCCAAATTTATGCCAAAAAATTTCTCCGGAACGACACTTTTTAACTATTTTTTTAAATGAAATCAAAATAAAAAAATTGTGCAAACTTTTTGCATATAAAAAGGAGGGTTGGTTTTTAAAGTGTTAATGCAATTTTGAGGGGGTCGGCAAAAGTGTTACATAGAGGGAAACGGGATCAAAATTTTTTAATAATTGCGTTACATCATTTATGGGTTGCCCCTCCACGTATTCTAATGTTACCGAATTTCTATTCAGTTACTAAAAATGTGTGTCAAGCTTTGATTATTTTCTAATTGCTAAATCTTAGGTTTGACTGCTTCGAGGCGGCCAAAGCCCGAAATTGAAATACAATTCGAGCTTTGGTCATTCTAAATAGCCCAATCCTAACATTCGGCAAATAAAACGACCATCGGCCGTTTTCGAGCTTTGCGCCCAACATATATATATTTACATAAAACAGTAAACTTGAAAACATAATGGGTTTCCTAGGATATTTTTCAAAATGTTTCCAAAATGATTCCTTCTAAAAATATTTCAAAGACAGTTTGATTTGGGAAACCCAAGATCCTTAATAATATGTCTACACAGATGTTAAAGTGGAGGTGACACAAATCGAAGAAAAAATGCTTATTTCCGTTTAGCCATCACAATAATTTAAAATTTTACTTGGTCCTGCACAGGTATAAAGAAAATGCGTCTATATCTTATGCAGACCTATACACTAACTATTTTGTCGGTCGTTGGAAATCGGTAGGTATAGTGCCCACATTGCGGAAGAATAGTATATTTTTCTTATTTATATGTCTGAGGATAGAAATTTATTTAAAAATTATCGAGCGATATGCATACAATCTAGGTACACTCTCTACACCTACCCGAACGGCGCGTACCGAGCCGTAACGAATTCAACCGACTCTTCACCCTTTGGGCCAGATTAATTGTAAAAATCACACATTGGCGCTGTGTGTTATTTTGGCTTGCATGCCATGTTGTTTCCCGATAAGTGTGGAGCTGGGAGGAGCTCACACATTTTTCATTGACAACGAGAAAACGCATAAATGACAGTACTCAGGACCTATTTACTACGACAACGCGGTTTAGTATTAGTGGTTGAAATGGACAGTCGTTTTACAGAACCAAGTCAAAGGTTCCATTGGCCCTACTGTCAGAATAATCATAATGTCTTTATTATAATAGACGGAGTACAGCCCAGGCCTGCTTGTTACAAAACCCATATTTAAAGCACTATTTGACCGTTCTGTCGGCCATAGTAAACAACTTAATTTAATTTGGTGATAAGATTTCAGTCAATTATAAAGGGAGAATAAAAGGATCTAAGTAATCCTTTCAGCTAAATTAGTATAATTAACTAGTAGCTTGCGAATTAGCAAACTTAATTCCGTTACCAATTACAAATAATTGACAAATAATTCACATAATTTCGAGCGGCTTAGTTTTCATTAATAATAAAGCATATACAGAAATCTGCAACTCCTCACTTAAATGTATTATGTCCGGCACTGACCAACGTCCCCATCTGTTGCATTTATTGCTTTCAGACCACGCGCAGATTTATACAGGATTACAGCTATTTGCAAATATGATATGTCTAATTCAATTAATTAATTTTATTTGAACATTGAATTTACCTTGTAAATATAGTGGATTTGCACTGAATATAATTAGCAAATGCTTCTGCACATTTCTATATCTTTTCCCTATAAACGGGTATGCTCGAATGCTTTCTTTACAAGTGACATATCCGTTCCTTAAGAACAACATTTATTGTGTCTCAAACACTCGTTTTTTTCTGGTGGGTGTAGTGCAGTATATATCCATTGCCAATACTATGGGGAGCCGTAGACACTAGAAAATATACCTAAAAAATTCTTCAATGCAAACATATTTATTCGCTTGTGATTGGTTGTACGTACACATGAGTCATAATTTGGCCGAATTCGTTCGCTATGTAAACACGCGCCTTAAAGGCGTCTGTGGCTCTGAATTGGAGTAGGCCCCTAGTTAATCTCTTGCACAAAAATGTGCGAATAAACAATCGGAACCGAAATCCATAACGCAGTGTTAACGAAATTCCGACAGAGACCATTCGCTTTAGTGCAGCCCGTAAACATATTCAACTGTTATCATCGCAAGTGATAACATATTAACTCGGTTGTTACTAGGAGAAAGTTAATTTTAAATTGCGAACGTTCAGTGACCTTAGTCATATAAAAAAAACGTTATAAAATGGTTTGAGTTAAATAAGTAGGGTACACTACTTATAATAATAAATCGTCTTTATTGAGCATGTTCTCTGGCGAAATCTAGCTCAAGGCCATTTTATTTAAAACTTGACTCCTAACTTTTACTCACTGATTTCCACTAGATCACAGTGTGGGTTATTTAAATTTTTAGAGACAATCAGATTGAATTTTTACTGATTGGATACATCTGCGGGTGGCCAATTCTGTTAATTCAAATAGTTCTCAAAAAATTCTCAAAAATAGAGATTTTTGTTTATTGTGAAATGTAAAGAATGCATCCAACGCGCAAATTCTCTAAATAAAATTTTCCATTTAGAACAGATGTGAAATTGGATTCCATTTATTCAATCTTATTTAAAAAAGCACTGTAAAAGCAGTAGGCAAATAAACTTTTTAAAAAGCGACATAAAAGTCTAATGCATAATTCTGGTGCTCATTGTCTCTTTGATATCAGATTCAATAATGTTCTTAAATCAATAAAGAGGAACCCATATACCAAGTTTCAAAACCCTACGGTCTAGGCGATATTTGATCAAAATACAAGCGATTTCTAACAAAATCTTTAATAACGGTGCACAAAATAATAATGGTTGATATAGTGTAAGATAAAAGTAAAATTACGGTTCACTCTATCACACTTCCACTAAGTATACCTTATAGTTTTCTTACGAAAATCATGCTCATCAGCATTCATTTCGAAACGCAGAGTAAACAGGAAAAAATACGTAAGAAAAAAATTTCGTTGTGCGACATCTTCTATTACAAGACATAAGCGAAAATGATACTTTCCTTTACACATTTTTTTTAGAACGCGTTTTTTTAGTCAAATATGTGAAAGTTTTTCAGAACTGTGCACATAAGGCTAATTTTATTTAATTTAATTTCACTATGAAGCTTGATTTTCTTCATTTTTGATTTGGAGCGATGCGAGAGTACAAGTAAATTAACAGTAATTATAATTAATTAACTGCAACTGTATCACACAACGATATAGTAAACTTTGTGGGACTAAATTTTTTCTGGCGGTCAATAAGAAACAGGAACTGATTCAACAACAGGACTGATTTTTTAGACGCAAATCGAGAAAAAATGAACGTGATTTTCCTTAGCATAAATTCCGATGATGGCGATTTTCCTTTGGAACGACACCTCGGTGAATGAATTCCAGCAGTGAGGCAGCGACCTTTCCAGGGAGGAATATTAAACTTCAATTTTACTGACTAAGAAAAATTTTGATGTCAAGGTCCACTTGGGTTCCGAAACGGGTGAAAATCTAAACATAACCATGAAATAGAAATGAACAATAACAATAAAAACTTTATCTGGTTTTTCTTTGCCTAATTCTTGAATTCAAATTGACACACAATTCTCAGAGATTACATAGAACACAGATTTTCATTATACCACGCGCATTATTTACCCTACCTCCCGGCTATGTATTATAAGAAAATAAAGACATAAAAATAAAAAAATAAACATTTCTACGAAGCAGGCAAATAGTGTAAACAGCGCCTTATTAAAACATTTTTCGTTGCATATGGAGAAATAACAGAGACGAATAACTCTTAAAAGTACACAAACTTTCTTATTTCTTGTCATATTTTCTGAGTACTAATTCCAAAACGACAGAGATAGTGGATAGTGGCAGCTCGGGTACGAACTTTTACATTGACGAAAACTTCTCTTCTAGAACTTGTGGACCACCACGCTTGCCCATTGACTGTACAGCAAACGGAAAACTATCTCTTGTAACAACATTGAAACGACAAAAACTTCAAAACATGGGTCGACCGTCGCAAAATTCGTATTTGAAAATTTAACGAACACAACTAACTGTTACGTCTGTTATGACAAATGACCGAAAACTACCTCGTTCGAACGGTGCGTCCGCCTTTTAACTCCTCAACCCCACCATCGCGTTCCTTATGTTCGGTAAAAGCCGATGACCCGCGATCACTTGTTTACATGCACTTCCTTATCTCAACCCTGCACACCTGCGCCTTATTTATCTCATTAAAATTTAGTTTCCCTTTGATAATGTCCTCTTATCATCATTTGTTAATTGATCATCGCAAAAACGCAATACATTCTTTACACACATGCTGTTTAACTTCTGCGTCTTACATTATAAACAAGAACAATTATTCTTGCACAATTTTTCTAGCATAAGTGCAACTACCACTAAAATTAAAATAAAATAAAACAACAATTATGTGCCTCTTTGTAATAAATTCCACCGGATTTCTTAATTAATATAATTAATTAAATGCAGGGTGGGTCGCTCGTCATTCCCACATCTTTAAACGAACATCGCGCTATTTTTTGCGCATTCTTTAGCACCCAGGAATGCATACCCTTATTGTTGGTATTATTTCAATTTAAAGGGCAACCAGGCAAAACACATTTGTTTTGCCATTTTTTTGAGGAAATGCGTAAACATGACCAATGTTTCGAAGCAATTGAATTCCATAAAGTGAAAACTGATCTTTATGGTAATAACATTTTCTCTTCGGTGGTAATTACAAAAAGTACCTGGTCTTATGAAGTCCTTGGTCGTTACCTGTTATTTGATTTGAATACACGGTCGCTATATCAAACATCTCGCCAAAACTGGTACTTTCCTAATAGGTAATTATGAAAAAGAATTGAATATACCATAGAGATGGGTTTTGACTTTGAAATTCAAACCATAAATGTTTTTGACTCCCTATTTTATTTGTTTATCATTTTTAATAAAATTAATAACTTTAATAATAATTATGTTTGGGATTATTTTTCTGTGAAACGGTACGTATAAACGAGAATTACCATTGTAGAATATGCAAAAGCTTTTATAAGGAATGTATTTTTCTCAAATGTTTTTCCTCTTGTAAAGTCGATCCTGTTATAATTATACGGTATGTATCATACCTATATGATATTATGATCGTGGAGGTAAGCTAGTTAACACAAAAACGTACATCAGAAAAACACAGGCAGATAAAACACATTTGTTCAATATTGCACAATTTTATACTATACCTAAAGTAAGAAAGCTGCATTGAATACATATTCTCAGACACAAGTTAGATGTAAATTTTTGCACATATACATACATACAAACAGGCTGTTTCACGAAACCGTTACCTAAAAGTATTAAGACTCCCATTAATAATTTAAATCTGCAAATTTGTATACCAACATAGTTTTTTATGCTCTATCGAAAGAAAATATTATCATGATCGTCCATGGATAGCAACTTTCTTATTTTAAAAAGAACACTATATTTTATTGCATTTTCGAAATCTACATGAAAATCTACGTCTTTTGACACCACATTTCCCTATTCCTAGTATCAAAGGTTTTCAAGTTATTCAAGACAACTTTTTAAGGTTCGAAGTATTAAATTTGACCATTAATTTTAAAACACCCCGTAGAATGGCGATCAACATTTAATTCATTGGCATGTAGCATCACGTCAGTATTGTTGATTTTGGAAGACTTCTTAAAATTCAAGTCAACGGAGCCATAGGTACCTAGGGCGCTAAAGAAAAGCAGTCAAACGTCAAAAATGTTGAAAAATCTTGAAACTTGAAAACCTTTGATGCTAGGTACAGAGAAATGTTGTATCAAACGACGTAGATTTTCATGTAGACTTCGAAAATGCAATAAAATATAGGGTGTTCTATTTAAAATAAGAAAGTTGCTATCCACTTCCGGTACAGCTGGAAATGGGACCACACTATTTTCTTTCGATAGAGGATAAAAAACTATGTTAGTATGCAAATTTGCAGATTTAAATTATGAATGGGAGTATTTTAGGTAACGGTTTACGTGAAACAGCCTGTAATAACATGTATTTTATTATTCAAATTATTCAAAATCCAAAGTTTTATGTTATAAAAGTTACACCGACCTTCGTATTTAAAAGAATTGTTAATTATAGGTAGGCAATGCAATACCGGGATCACGGGATCTCGAAATACCGGGATCCCGCAGCTTTTTTGCGGGATTAATCCCGCACATAAATGGCGCGGGGTCCCGCGGGATTTGCGGGACTGAGGAATTTGTCGACCAAGGGGACGACTCTGTTTGCTTTGTTAATGAAACGCATAACGGAGAAATTATTTTTAAAATAATTGTTAAACTTTTTTCCTTAAAAATGTACTATGATTTTTGAGGCACTTTAGAAGTTCACCTTTTTGTGCTTTACAGGTAATTTTTTTGAGTTTTAAGTTAGGCTGACGGTACTTTTTTGTTGAATACTTATTGTGATAATTAGCGATTTATTTATAATGTGAATATTAGGTTCAAAGGAAGTCTACCAATTATTAAACACAGAACGTCTCTTTTTAAAAGATCTTTCAGTTATCAAATTGCCAATCTTCATAATAGTCTTCCGAGTTCGCTTACATCGCTTCACATGAAACCGTTTAAAAGAATATTCAAGCAAACATTAAACTGTCGCTCTAGGAGATAATGCCAAGTTTCGTTTGGTCCAGTTTTATTTTATTTACTCTTAATAGCATTTTTCTTTATTCCCACTGTGTGTTTCTGCATTGTTCTTCATACTTTTTCTTTCATCCTCTCACCAGGGCATATTATACGTAATTTACATTGTCTAAGTAAACGTTACAACTTGTCATCTTTTTCTTTTCTTTTTGGTTAGTTATGTTTTCGTGGTTAGGTGGAAGATCAGCAAGAGGAGCTGTCTCCCAATGCTGAACCTCGCCACTAGGTTTCTTTACCTTAATTAAAATTTTTGTTTTACATTTACTTTATATATTTATGCAAGGTAATGAAATAAAGGCATTTATTATTATTATTATTATTATTATTTTAATACAGAAGTTAACCGCACAAAATTGCTTATTTGCCAATTTATTTAAAATTTGGCGGGATCCCGCGGGATTAACATATAACGATCCCGCAAATACCGGAATTGAGATTTTGCTGCGGGATTGCATTCCCTAATTATAGGTAATCGGTAGTCTATAATAAAAGCTAATAACTGAAACCCTTTTACAATATTTCGAGGAATAATTTTCTGATTCATTTTCATTAGCATCACAGTGCTGTACATTGTTATAAAAAAGTATTTCAATGATATTATTAGCGCACACAATATTCGCTTTAGAACCTTCACAAACATGTCGTCAGATAATTCGCACGTCTATAATCATCACATGAACATGGTTTAATGAGGAGCTGTATCTAAATTATTTTACAATTCTTATCATTTGATATAGCCTACTTGCAAGTCTGTGGTATCACAGTAGATCCCACTACGATGAACAATAACGTCTTAAATACTTCTAAAGAGCAAGATTTAAATGAAGATAGTGTAAGCGTACAAAATGATTTGGAAAAGATTCGAGAGTGGTTAAAAAAACAACCCCACCTGAATGTCAGAGACGGTCAGTTTTTCCAAAGCGTCCAAGTTTCAGAAATTCTTATTACAGATGACGCATCGTTGTTAATATTTCTAAGAAGCTCAAAGTATAGTATCCAACGTACTAAAGAAAAACTCGACAATTACTACTCCATGATCACCTTACTTCCAGAGATCTTTGACGATCTAGACCCATTCGCGCCTGATATTCAAGCGCTTTTAAATGTCGGGTAAGTTACGAGTAGGTATATACTGTCTGCATCTTTTTAAATGGACCTCATCAGGGCATTTGAGAATTTAGACAACTTACGCATAGTTTGACTTTACTATAATATTCTTCAAACGCGAGATGCAATTTAAAGAATTATAATTTCATTTCATTGTGGAGCAAAGTCCAAGTCCACAATCTTGAGAGATTTTTAGAAACCTTAAGTCTGTTGAGAAGTTTCATCAACAAAATCTCTTTCGAAAGCTCTATAAACGTATTAGAAATTTTAAAAATCCTACTAAAAGTTGTCGCGGAAGAAATTTCTACTGGCGTGATGTTAGCTAAAGCATTACGATCTCTAGAATTGTGATCTAATTCTACTTGCGAAGTTACTTCTTCGCGTTAGATGCAAAAATGCTCGATAAATGAACTATTTACATACACTGCCAACAGAAAGTTACGTAGATATCCTTCTGGAATATGAGAACACACTTTTGAAGATTGAATATCAATCTCAATTTTAAAACATGAATAAACCCCTGCTGATTATAAAAAACTGCCATGAACTTTTATTCACGCGTCGCCTAATGACAATAGAAATCTTAATATAATTAGCAAGAGTTGAATAATGTTTAAAATTCACTTCAATATAGTGTGCAACACGATTAACCACAAAATTAAATTTGTATCTTTTATTATTGAAAAGCGGTAGATAAAAATCTATTCCTTGCTGACCTCTCAGTCAAGAATTCACAATTCTAGGGAAAGAGATGCAATTGCTTACTCCGTGACAGAATTTTCTTAGAATTGAAGTAGAATTTTCCTATTATTTCATATAGGGTTTTGATCTTTCTCACTTAGAAATGGGTTCTGAATCCAAAATTGGAAATATCTTACCTTATACCCTAAATTTCTTTTTATTATCCCGAATTTTACTTCAATTTGGACAATGATATTGATCAATTCATAATCCGATAGGAGATTCTTCGTACGGTGGTTTTTCGGGGTTTATTGCGCAAGTAAATCCAACTTTCTTTGGCAGCTTTAGCATCGTATTAACGGCTTTTATAATTTTTGACAAATTATTGTCTTTCTTATTCATAGAAAATGGAGAAACTGATTTTCTAAACAAAACCTTATTTAATCTAACTTTGATTCACGTTTTTTGAAAATCTGGCACAGCTATCGTTTAACCATTAGGTATCTTTACAGCGAAGTTTAAAATCCTTTGTTATTATAAAGTGCGGCAATTTTAACTTGAACGTTAATACTGGTATTCATTTTTCGCTCGAATATGCAAGTCATTTGAACTTATTTAAATGGCGAATGAAAAACGTTGCTTCCGAATTCTTTAAAAAAACGCCGGAATTATTAACTATTTTGACCGCAATTACGCCGCTAATTTTGTTCTTCTAAGCCATAAGTACTTATTACTTTGACTGTTAGACGATGAATGTGCCCTCCTACCATTCTTAATGACTTCGTCCCAAAAACAAAAGTGGCGATATCCAAATTCCTTATTGGTTAACCCTTCCTTTTTAACCAATCTGGAGCGGCTGTTAATTATTTAAAAAGCAAAACAATTATGCTGATCTAAGGACTGTAACGTTATACAGCAGGATGTAATTTAAGCCCTTATCCAGACTTCCTAACGCGCCTGACGATTAGATGCAATTAAAAGAACAAAGAAGCATTGAGACTTGAATGCTGTAGAAAAGTTAGACCTCAAAATTGCATGAAACATCTTTTATGAATTTCTAACGAGCAAAATTACAGGTTTTGCAAAAAAATATTAGAGTCTGCGATAAATAGTTCTCCGTACAACCACGGGAAACGCTGTAATCAGTGACAATTTAGCGCCATTTATGTTTCTGTTCTGTGAAGGTCTTATTCTGTGAAGTAAACGTCAAGTGTAATTTCTATGGCAATTATGGAATACGAATAATCAGCCTACTTAATTATAAATGTATTCCGGTACAAGGTCAATATAATTTCATTTTGTTTCCCTAATTTTTAAATTATATTGCAGGTATAATAAAAAATACTATAAGAAACGTAAGTCTCCACTGTGATAAAGAAACAGCAGGATTAGTGGGTTAACATACAAAATGAGTCACACGCATACGTTACGGTTCATGGTTGACCTTCGACCACCGACTAACAACACTGTAGAGTTCCACCACAATATCCTCCAGTTCTTCAGAAGGTTTTTTTGTTCCCTTTACACACAGTTTAGTAAACACCCTACATTGTACAAATTTGACAATATGCATGGTACTCTATCGCTGCAATCACTACATATTTTTTATTTTAAACCCCATAAAAAGTTAAAATAGGTTTTTTAGACCTATTCAAAAAAACATAACCGACTTTTAACAACGGGGTAGTTTTTAAGCACAATTACTAACATGCCGTTCAGTATGTTGATTGAACTATCTACGGCGGCGATATGCCAATACGTGGCATAATATACTTATAGACTCTCCTATGCCTTGGTCTGGTACATTTAAGGGTAGAAATTTACGTATGCGCAGTACCTCTCTGTGACAAGTCGTAATACTTTTTTCATTTATTTTTATTGAAGCACTATGGTACCACTGCCAAATACCTTTGGTAAATGTGGACCTAGAATTATTTTGTGCGGGTATGGTTATGATCCCGTTCTGGTACCGTACACCACCATTGTGAAAGCGTCTCTAATGATATACGATATTCTAATGGCCGAGGATCTGAATACTGTTGCATTCGGTGTTTACATGGTGATCGACTTAAAAAGGTTTTCACTAAAATATGCCTTACAATTAACTCCGACTATTGTGACTCAGCACCTCTACTGCATTGAAACAGGATACCCTCTGAGACTCAAAGGTATGCAGATCGAAAATTGCCCATCAGCTTTGGACGTTACAGTTAAAATAGTGAAAGCTTGTTTAAAGGGTAAAGTTAGCAACAGAGTACGTACAATTTACATATTAATTTACGAATTTTATGTATGGTTCCTTTTCAGTTGCATGTGTACAGGGAGGATAGCAATCTTCAAAAGGAAATTACCCTTGAAATGTTGCCCATCGAGTATGGTGGAACAAATGGATCAATTAAAGAGCTGGGAGGTTAGTATTCAACGTCAGGGAGCCCTTAGTTAGGTCCATGTTTCAGCAATTTGGAAAAAGAAAATGGAATCCTATAGAGACTGGTTTAGAGATAACGCTAAATACAAAACTAATGAAAATCTTCGTCCCGGCCCAGCGAAAAGCAGTGCCAGTGAGCTTGGAATCGACGGATCGTTTAGAAAATTAGCAGTTGATTAATTAAGTTTTCACAAATTGTACTTTTGACTATTGCCCTCAGAAAATCTCAACCAATCATATTAAATGCATATTACAGAAATCACCTAGCAACAGACAAATATCCTCGAGTATTCATGCACTGTGCAATACCCGCGGGTATTGCTTATGTGTAAATACAAAAATGAAACTTACCTACATAAATAATTCCAAATTGTATTAACGAAAATTACAATTTGTAAAATGGCAATTTGTAACTGAACCCATGCTTATTTTCGGTTTCATGATGCTATTTGAAAAACCATGTCTTTGAAAGGATCGAAACAAACATTATATTCTTCTTATCTTGCAAAATTTTTGTCGGGCAATAGTCATCCCGTATATCCCTCGTGCACGCCAAATAGCAGATCTGAGTATTTCGCTCGTGCACTACGTGCACTCGCGAAATATTCAGGTATTTGGCGTGCACTTGGGATATAATACTTGAGTATTTTGCATATACAGTGCGTTCGAGATAACAGTCACTTCAATATCTCTTTTATTTGGCGAGATACGAAACATTTTTCAAGTATAATTTTATATATGACATTACGATCTACCCGATGGCATATTGAAACTTCCGGTATCAGTTCCCGCCTGACTAGACAAATGCAATGCCTATGTCTTTTTAAGGGGGATCTCACACAGTTCAGTTATGAGCGTTTGCAGAGGTTTCATAGAAAAATTCCCCAGACTTTAGTTTCAATCACTTAGTGCTAAATGATACACCGATCTCTTCGCAAGGAAATTTGCGATGTTTCTATAGTAACACATTTTTCAAATTTATTTTATTGAACAGATCTGTAAAGAAATACGGCCGTGACAATCTTTCCACGAAACGTCTACCGTGTATGGATTGTATGAATTTTACTTGCTGTTGAGTAGCGCCACGCAATCCGAGTTTTAAAACTAAACTGGACGTATTAAGATCATTTTGTGGGAAGGAATATTTCATTTGTCAATTCTAAATCTTAGACTACTTGCAAAAGGATTAACAATTTTAGTTCAAAATGCGTCTTCATTTAATGATTTAAGTGCAAATCGACAACACTTCACTCCAGCCAAGGATAGTCTAGATAGTGCTCATAAAATTGAATTAAAAATAAAAATAATTAGCAGTTAGTGTAGTGTATTAAATGTAAAATAAATAAAATTATAAATTATAAAATTGTAACATACAATCAGAGCTGGGCAGTGGGCAGTATTCTACGTTGTAAATACTGTGGAGTATTCAGTTACTTTCGAGTACATATTCAAATACTTTGTAATTAAATAGGTACTTTTATGGAAGCAGTATTTGTATTCTCAACTAAAATACTTTAACATATATTTTTTAGTGTTCAAATACTTTACAAACAATCCGCATATTTCGCAAAGTATTCAATACTTCACCAACAATCCAATACTTTTCAAGTTAGTGAAATACTTTGAGAACTATTTAAATATATATATATTAAATGGAAAGTATTTAAATACTGTCAGAAGGATTTAAATATTATTCGACAAAAATTCCCCTTATGTGATGGTTTTGTCCGCCCGTCTGTCTGTTCCTCGTCTAATTGGAGAATGGAAAGAGACAGGGATGTCAAACCTTCACCAATCTATTTCTATGACTTTAAAGATCAATGCTATTGAATATGAGCTGAATTAAAAGTCTTATTTCCAAATCCGAGCCGAGTGTCAAAAAATTCCCCTATTAAGAATCGTACGCGATACTTCATATGTTGTTTAACGATCGCCATGAGTTTATAATTTCGTATTACTGTGTCTATCTGTCCGTGTGCATAATAACTTTGTTTAGAAACGTCAGATCGCTTTAAAAATTGGTACTCATGTTCGTAAGGGTATAAGAAAGGTCGCTATTGTTTCAGTTACGAAGTTCTAAAAATAGTGGATGCGTGAACATCTCGAGGATCATTTGGTATTCGACTGTATCGAATTTCGAGATGTGATGATAACGATATTGTTTCAAGCCCCTGCACCACGATATGATAAAACTAATATTTTTATAGATGCATACATACTGTTTAATCACCGTAATAGGCTACTAAATGTAATCACCCAAAATAACATCAAGTGATCAGGATGATGATGGATAATCTTTTTAATTTTTCAAGTATTTGAGTGAAGTATTTGAATACTTTTGACTATATTTGAGCACTTGTCAAAGTAATGAAACACTTTTTAAAGTATTCAAATAGGTACTTTTGATAGAATAAAAGCCGTTTAAATAAAATTGATGAATTATCAACTTCGGCATGACCTTTAGTTTTCAAACTAAGCGATGCAGGAATAACTCGATAGTACGAAGCTAATGCAGTACTCCCGAAGGCTGTTTATCTAGTCTTATCTAATCTCGCTTCATGTAGATATCGGTAGGTCTATGAAAGGCACTCGAACGAGTTTTGAGTATAATAAAGTTTAGTATATTTTTGGGGACGTTCACCTCGCCCCCATTAATTTTCTATTTATTTTTAAACCCAAAAAAGGCGACATAAATACCCAATAGAGCACAATTGGACCACAGTAGACAGAAAAGCTAACAGGGGGGAGGGGGCACATTTATATTGTAACCTTCACTTACTGTAGAAGAACGCGTAAATTCTTGTATCAGTTATTCCGAAAAGTCAAGTTATTGATGTTGGTGCGCATTAATTTCAGTATAATATTTTGAGATGAAATAGACATGTTCGTCAATTTATTCGGAAAGATAACATGAGAAAAGGTTTGCAAGGTAATATCCAAAGACGTTTAAACATATCAACGATCTTGTATATTAGTTTCGACGGGCACTCTAACGGCGCGGTGATCGGCAATGTCCGACTTGCGGTGGCACTCCTCACACCTCTGTTGTGTTAATTATTACTTTCAGAGTATTATACGTATTAATTATTGTGAACAATAAATGATTATTGGAAACTCGTGTGTTTTACATATTTTAAACAAAAGTTGCCTGAAATTTGCATACAGGGTGGGCCATTAGTGTGTAGGTGGAAGATTGTGGGTTTATCAACGCGGCTACAGCCTAAAAATATTTTCGCCGAATTTGCTATTGTTATACACTTTGATTTATATCAAAGTTGCATTTTTTTTAAATAGTTGTTGCAGATTTTGATTCCTTGGTCAATTTGTATGTATTATGAATGATATCTAAAATCCATCGTTTAGCCGCAATGGTGATTTTTTTAAAAAGTAGATGTGAAGTAACAATGCGATTAAAAGGCCAGGACTGCATGAAATGTACTACCATTCGCCGAATACGGTCAATGTTAAATTTTTTCGTGTTAAATAAAACCACTGCGTCAATGTTCAAAATTTCATCAATTGTAGGATTTGATTACCTTTCCAACGATATAAGCATGTCGGTATTTACCTACCTTTTACATATTATATTATATATTAGTATCCACCTAGCAGAATATTTATTGATTTAGTCATTCTTTAACGTTGAGGGAAAATGAGGTGAATCACCATCGTGGTGAAACCACATTTCTTTTATTATGTGCACCGAAACATTTTGAAGACCATCAAAAAGTACTTAAATATTTATTGTAAACAAGTAAAAAGCACTGTTTAAATCACTTTTCTCAAATTCCATTTTTCTAATAAACTTAACTAATCAACAATGCTAATGAACCAAACTGACAAATCAAATCCTACATTTGATGCAATGAAAAAAAACTTGGTAGTTCTATTTAACAAAATCAATTTAGCTTGTGATTCAGATTTGGAAAAGTGATTTTTAACACAAAACAGTGCAACTTTGAGCGTTAGTACATTTCATGATTACTAACACTGCAAAGTCACGGACTTAAAAGTTTTATGATAATTGTGATAACTATTCAATTTTTACTGGACATCTACTTTTAAAAAAATGACGAATTGCAGTTAAACGACTAATTTTAGATATCATGTATAATATTAAAATTGACCAAGGAATTGATATATGTTTAACAGCGAATACAATTTAAAAAATGCAACTTTTGATATAAATCAAACTGTATAACAATTGGAAATTCGGTGAAAATATTGTTAGGTTATCAACATGCCCCGATAATGAATTTTAAATATGTGCGTTAATAAACAAACCAACAACGTTCCACCCGTCTACAGTTAAACATACTGGATTTTGTTGAATTGGATTGTGCGCTTTATACGTGTCCTGAAGCCGTCTCTGCTCATGAAAATTTAAACTCAAGATGCATGATCGAACAGAACCGCGGCTTGTCGTGTTGCTTACGAGTGCATAAGGACAACCCACATATAAACCATATTATGCACTCCTCATGCCCCTGAGAAACTTCGGCCGACTGTAAGATCAGCCTTAAGGTCCTTGAAAAGAGTCGTCAATTTGCTGTACGACAACATCGATCTACCCGTGTAACCATAACAGACACCGCGCATCTTGATAGCACACGGCATGCTAGAGTTGATGAGATTTCTAAATATTGAATCACGCATTTCTCCTGTTTTATATATCAACCATAGTCACACTTTATGTTGTTGTAGAGCAAATTGTTTGCTCTTTTCCCAAGATCTTATAAAACATAGGCATTGCATTGGAGAAACCCTGGGAGAAACAAAAGGTGCATCGATTTCCGATTAAACCTGAAGTGATACCGGACATTTCAATATGCGATCGGATAGATCGTAATGTCACAACTCACATGTAATAGTATTTTACATTATTAGCCAGGTAAGTGAGTTTTTACTGGCGATAGGAGAAGTTGACTGGCTTACTAATTTACTAACTTGTAAAATTTTTACAGGTCAGCTGTCAGTTTTACAAGTCTGCTGTCAGTTTTACAAGTCAGTAGCGTTTAAACATGACGTTTACCCGTTTGCGTTTTGTCTTGTTAATCAACGTTTACAACTGAGTAACAAATAAAATTATATTTGAAGCATTTTAGTATTTTGCCATATAAAAGAGGTATAGTTGTGACCCTCTTATCTCGAATGCACTGTATATCATGTTTAAAGGACAGTAAGTTTTCGGGTTAGATTAAATTGTATTTTATATTACGTCGATTTATTCCACACAAAAATAAATTTGAGAGAACTGCAGATGTAGATGCTAGTTGTCTATTACTCCAGCCCAAAAGGGGAAATGAAAAAAACTTATGTAAAATGGAATCATATAAAGACTGGTTCCCACATTGGGGATTGCTACAAAACTAATGAAAAACTTCCTCCTGGTGTAACTAAAGGAGCGCTGGTGAGTTCGGAGTCAAATGGACCATTTAGGAAATTGGGGATTGATTAATTTCTCTATCCCTGCAATCCATACTTGTCAAACCGTTTTGGTGGAATGTTCAAAGGAGGTGTGTGCAGAGAAAATGATTTTCTTAGTGCGACAGCTTA